TGGAGGCAATGCATGTCGAGCGCCCCGTCGCCCGACCGCAGAGGTTTGACGTGATGTCAACTGATTCCGAGAGTCGTTTTCGTCGCTCCGTCTCTCTCGCTCTCGTGGGCCGCCCCGCACCTATGCGGGGAGACAGATCGACGAAAACGACTCTCGGAATCAGTCTTCTATCCGCCTGAAGCGGCTGCCGTCATGTCGCGGCTCGGCCCCCGCACTGGCATAGAAAACAGTGCAGGAAAGAAACGACGGGCCACCTGGTCTATTTTTCGCTTGCTAACTAGGGCGACTCCGTGTCAGATTACATAAGATCCTCAAGCAGAATTCGGGGTAGTAGAGCGGAAGGCACGGGCTTTTTCTGCACCCCATCTCCCGTTCGGTTTTCGCACTGAACTACGGAGTAGCCCTGCCCTGCGCGGCCCTGCACTCTAAATGTCTTACGAAGAAATTTCCCATATTCCGAAGGAAATGGCGCAAGCATAATACGAAGGTGGTTTTTCTTCGTATTACGAAGGTTTTTCTTTGTATCTTACAATGAAAAAGCTAAAAAGATTCGTATTACGAAGGAATATTGCTTCGTATTATGCTTGCGCCGAATTCACTGTAACATACGAATAACATAGGTCAAATTTCATTGTAAGACATTTAGAGTGTGCCCTGCCCTGCCCTCCCCTGACTCCCCTCCCCTCCCTCCGCGGTGGTGCTTCACTGCTTCTCGGCTTGCTGTTCATCTCGCGCCATTGTCTGGTCGGCCGGCCCGCTGCTCGGCCTCGGAGTCCTCGGAGTCCTCGGAACTGCGACAGCTACTGATTTGATGCGCCACTGCGGATGGGGATTACGACAACGAGTGCCAAGAGACGCGGTCGCACTCGGAACAACAACAGCCCTTTCGTCGCACAGTCTCTCTCTCTCTCTCTCTCTCTCTCTCTCTCTCTCTCTCTCTCTCTCTCTCTCTCTCTCTCTCTCTCTCTTTCTCTCTCTCTCTCTCTCTCTCTCTCTCTCTCTCTCTCTTCTCACTGGGAAGGTTTGTAGGGGTGCGAGTGAGACAGTGACAAAGCACTTGTCCGGAATCAGAGTATTGAGGAGACGCGCTGATTTGATGACCGCTGCAGCAAGACCGAGACCGGGGGCGGGACGGCGGGGGAGGGGCGGGGGTCTTTGTGCCGCCGGAGTGGAGTGGACCCCACTCGGTGCACTCTCGTAGCGCAATAGCCAATTAACCTCCCTCCGACTTTGTCCCATTTTTTAGTCCAGCCCGCACGACCACCGCACTATAATTGCGCAGATTGGACTGCTGATGAGAGACAACGCCGCCGGATATGAGCGGCGAAAACCGATGTTATGCGGGACAATAAGAGTTGGAACCGCGGACGCAGCAGACCGGCGAACGCGCAGGTCGCAGCAAAACACGCAGCGCCGACGTTGTGTTGTTTCGGCGCACTGATTCCAGGAATAGTCGGTCTGTCTCTCTCGCATGGCGTGCCTCGCCTCGCTGTCCCCCTCGCACCTGCGCGGAGTGCCTCGCCAAGTTGGACAAAAACGCCAACTCTGAAAATCAGTCTGCGCAGAGCGCACCATCCATTGTCTACCACTAAATCGAATATTGCGGCGCCGCCGCGCGCGGCGAGAGAGGCTTTATTATTGTGCGGTCCAGCGCCAGCGCCGACAGCACCTGCGGACCAGGGTCGGCAAACAAAAACCAAATTCGTGTTCACACTTCTCAAATGTTTACGGTATGCGCTGCCCAATCGGGGTTTTGTTTGCGTTCTAAGGTGGATAGTTGTTCTTGTCCAACAACCGGCTATCTTACGAATTTCAACTCCCAATAGGGTCAGGGCGTGAAAGAACGAATACTGCAGGAGCGGGGGAAAATCGCACTCCTCTATTTTAGACTGAACTATAAAGGAAAAATTTTCTACTGGTGATTGGAACCCTACAATAACGCGTAACAGTATTATGTTGTCTCAAAATAAGGATCCAGTCTAAACTAGGGTGTGCCATTTTTCCCCGCCCCTGAGGTGTTTGGTTCTTCCCGACCCTAACTTTATTGCAATTGCAAAAATTGTTCATATGTAAAAAAAAAGTGGTGAAGGGGTCCACTTACGGGTTACTTTCGGGTAAATTTCGAGGAAGGACTGTTCCAACTTTTTCCGTACGAAGGACCTGACCGGACCACGCTTTCTAGAGATGGAGAAAAAATTCGTAAATGAATTTCGTTTGCCAACCCTGCTGCAGACCGGAAGAAGAGTGCACTGTCAAACCAACTGCGGAGAACTCCACACTTCCTGCACGGCAAAAGTACCGCCTGGGATTCCCAGGCGCATCATGGGAAAAAGGGCCTATTTTCCAGGCGCCGCCTGGGAATCCCAGGCGGTACTTTTGCCGTGTGGCGCGGAGTATTATTCTCCATACTTGCAGTTTTCAGTCTCCACACTTCCAGTGTGGAGCAGTGTGGAGTAGGTCAGAGAGCTCCTATCTCTTGGCATGGTGCAAACGTGGAGGGAGAGCTCCACACGTCAAGTGTGGAAACTGACTGCAAACTCTGCACTTCTGGGCGCGGGAGTCTGAAAATTCCCCATCTCCTCATTTCAACTCTTGGTTACAGTGTGCTATCGTCGTTCTGCCCCTGTTGCATTCATCATGAGATGTTCCAAAGGGGAGGGGTGGGAGAAAGAGCGAGAGAGAGAGAGAGAGAGAGGGAGAGAGGGAGAGAGAGAGAGAGAGAGAGAGGGAATCACCAGGCGGTGCGGGGCGGTGTGCTTGTGTGCGGTGCCCGGACAGCGCGCCACTGTACAACACAAGCAAGGCCCGGCCGGCCCGTCCCGGCAGAGGGGAGGACACGACGTGGGCGAGTTGAAGGAGCGCCCGACGAACGCGGCGTAGGCTGGCCCGCCACACCGCAGCGCGCCGTCCCCGCCGAGTTGCCTAACTCCCATACCATTACCATTAAGGGCTAGACCACACATGATCGTATGCCATTTCGGGCCCGGCTGCTCCCTCGCATTGAGTTGGGTCAGCAGACTGATTCCCCTTTTGTCGCTCTGTCCCTCTCGCACACGCCCCACGAGAGAGACAGAGCGACGCAAACGACTCTCTGAATGAGTCAGTGGCGTCACTCGGTCAGGGCCGCGAGGGAAGCTCCTGCCTTTCTGCCGTGCCGCGCCGCGCCGCGCCCATTCTGGCCCTGGCCGGCCCTGGCATGGCAAGCCGCGCCGCGCCCCGCCTTCCCCGCCTGGAACAATAGACGGCACTGGTCCGATTCCGCAAATTACCGGAATGGACTATTCGTGTCGGAGGGGCGTGCAGCCGGCTCGGGGGAGAGGAGCCCGGTCAGTCGGGTCTTGTCAGTGTCCGCCACGAGAAAAGGTCTTTTCACGGCGGGTATTTAGCGGTGAGGGCTCTCCGCGGTCCTGCTCCCTCCAGCGGGTGGAGGCGGGGCCGTCTCCGATTCGTCCCAGAATAGAACGGGGCCGCATAAACGTCCCCCTGGCAGCGACGGATTTGGTTGGAATCTGTTGCTCGGTGTTTCGGGGAAGCCGCGCTGCTGATATGAACGACCACACTGTACTAAATGTCTTACGGTGAAAGGCTGCACCAACATATTATGGTGGAGATTTTCTCCATAATACCAACGAAATTCATCAAAATATCTGTAAGGTACAGTGAATTCTCAATGGTATATGTTATGAAGTCAGCTGCACCACCAAATATGGAACATTTTCACCATAATATGGAGAATCTTCACTGTACAACTTAGAGTGCACACCGCACCCCGCATTTGCCTAGGTACATCAAGCCCCGGGAAGTTGGATGGGCAGCGCCGGGTAGCGCACGGTGCCGTGTTGGCTTGCGACAGCAAACTGGCCGTGAAAGGAAACAGAGTGTAGCCGAGTGCAGTGCCTTGCACCATGCTAGAACTTCGGAGCTCTGTGAGCTACTCCACGCCATGTCCACACTTCAAGTGTGACAACTGCAAACTCCACACGTCAAAGTGTGGAAGAGTGCTCCGCACCAGGAAGTTCTCCACCCCTGACCCCGCGTGCCCTGCGGCGCCAAATGGCAGTGGCGCGGTGGGCTCGTCGAGGGCGCCGAGCTGAGGGCCACGTATCGGCCTGTCTCTCTCGCACGCGCACGGGGAGCCCCATGGTGGGAGGGAGAGAGAGACGCTCGGAATGAGTCTTGAGGCGCGAGGACGCGCGGGGCGCCGAGGCTGGGTTACTGCCCTGCCGCGCCGCCGGTCGGCGGGGCCGCCCCCGACCGCCCCCTGCTGGGCCGCCCTCCATTGACGTCACCACTGGAGCAGCCAAGCCAGCTGAGCCAGTCAAGCAGATTCCGAGAGTCGTTTTTCGTCGCTCTGTCTCTGTCACCTTCATGGAGCGTTCCGTATGAGTGAGAGGGACGAAATCGACTCTACAGTCTGCAGCGAAGCCAGCCGAGCCAGCCAAGCAGAAGACTGATGCCGAGAGTTCTTTTCATCGCTCTGTCTCTCTCCCATCTATAAGGGACGCCCCATGAGTGTGAGAGAGACAGTGGGGCAGTCTGCGGCCAAGCCAGTGGCAAAGCAGCAAAGCCAGTCGAAGTAGCGAGGACCACGCGGAGCTCCGCTGGCCTGGCGGCGGCGCAGCATTCGGCCTTTATGACGTCAATGGGGGCGGGCGGGGGCGGGCGGGGGCGGGCGGGGGCGGGCGGGGGCGGGGTGGCAGGTACAGCAGGAGGGGACTCATGTATACTGTGAGCGCGAGGCTGCGACGTGAGGGAGGGAGGGAGGTAGGGAGAGAGGGACGGGGCCATCATCGGCGAGAAGGCAAAAGGGGTCTAAATACGCTGTGCGTAGGGATGCAAAATTACCGGTAATTTTCAAAATTACGTAAAAAACGGTAAATTACCGTAAATTACCGGTAATTTTGGTAAAAAACGGTAAAATTCGTTTCTTTTAAATGGTGTGCTATATTTTAGTGATTTTGTTGAAACTAAGTAGTAAGCATGGGTCTTTTGGGTCAGAAATGATAAAATCTATTGAGAAGTACAAAAGAAACACTCCCAAGGGAAAAAGTCACACACGTCCCTAACTAAAGGGATATTTCGCGGCCCCTTGGTATAGGGATGGGACCCATGAAATGGCCAGTCCCTATGGATAGGGACAGTTCTCTTGTCAAAGGGCCGCGAAATATCCCTTTGAGTAAGGGACATGCCGCGGAGTGTTAAAGTGTTCAAAACATCTACCGCTTGAAGATCAATGTACAATATAAGAAACGCTTTGTTGAGTAAACTTTTGACGCTGATCAAATGGTAGCGTCGCCGACACTATCTACAGCGGTTTGCAAGATATACCTTTAATAGGTGTGTAGCAGGTTTGCCTACCTAACTGAGTCACCTAAGTGCGTCACCCTTTTCAGAAAATGTGCTTGAGCGTTTCTAAATAAGCGTTTTATCATTAATATGGGGAATTGAAAGTGTATTTTGCAAAATACCGATAAAATTCGAATTTTACCGTTAATTACCGATTTTTCGGCTCTTCGGTAAATTACGGTTATTTACCGTAATTTACCGTAAGTTTACCGGGTAATTTACCGCCTTCGCATCCCTAGCTGTGCGACGCGACGCCGCCCGACACGAACCAACCAGTTTTCGGTCCGTTTTCACCGTTTTCGATCACCACTACCGCAATTTCGATCATCATAAAAAAGTGCTGTCCAGAATTGCAGCAGAGTTGTCAATGGCATTTTCATCCCTTAGGAATTGCGACGTTTTCATCGCTTGGCAATGATGACAATTTCACAACGACACGGTGAAAACTGTGGTTAACATTAGAATTTCCTAAAAAACGCGTATGTCTTCACTCTGGGCCTCCTTGGGCGGGCAAACCAGGAGCCGTGTTTGCCGTGATAAATAATGACGACTTCATCAAAAAATTAATGGCATTTTCAGCAAAGTGCACTGTAAAAAGCTACGTAGTATCGCTTCGTAACGCTTCGTAATACGAAGAGAACGAAGGCATTGTAAATTCTACGAATAATTGCTTCGTATTACGAGGCAAAATCATTCAAAATACGAAGGATTCCTTCTTAGTACGAAGCAATTCTATAATGACTTCATTTTCTTCATATGCTTTTTTTGAGTGTGACAGTCATTTTTTTTTACAGTGCATCATCATGCGTCATCATCATCATTATCATCATCATCATCATCATCATCACTACCACCACCTTCATTATCGTCATTTTCATCATCATTTTCGTCATTATCATCATAGTCATCATCACCATCATCAGCATCAGCACCATCATCATCATCATCATCACCACCATTATCAACATCATTTCATCACCGTCCTCTCCATACTCGCCTCCTAGTGGTTCTCAATCCCAATGCTTTAAGGCTATGCCACTTCCAGGGATTCGTTTGCTGAGGAAAATACCGAGAAAGTTCACTGGACCGCACAGCGCTGTCGGAAGAGTTCCTACCTCGCCATCAGACTGATTGCCCAGCAGCGTGGGGGGAGGGGGAGGCGGCCTGCGGTGGCAGGGTGAGGGCGTGAGTTGTGGTGAAGGGGTTGGGAGGCGTCGTCCCGGTGAAGCTGTGGAGGGAAGCTGGTTTTGAGCACCTTCCCGGGCGCCAAGACGACCCTGTGTGGGCCGGCGAGGCGATCAAGGGCGGCAAGGGCGAGGGCAGGCCGCCGTGGATGTGGCGCAAGGCTTGGTTCGCACCGGCCTCCCCTCAAGGAGCGGATCGCAAGACACGGCGCTCACACCAACGCACGGTATCAGGGGCGGACTCGACTCAAAGAGCCTTTTGAGCCCGTGGCGCATGTGGAGCAAATGAACGCAGTGTGTCACGGACCCTCCGGCGGCGCTCCCCAGATGGGAAGAATGGAGGTGTTAGCGCCCCTCAGGCGTATACATTTTTCCGAGGGGGCCACCTCCCCCGTAATCCTGTGTACAAATTGGCTGGTAATCTCTGGTAATCCATGGCGTAATCACGTAATCCTTGACAAAATTCTGTCATTTTTCAACGTTTTTAGCGGTTTTTAGTCATTTTTCAACGTTACTGAGCTATTTTTCAACGTTTTCGAACCAATTTTCGAAAATTTCACGCGTAATCCCTGGTAAATATCCCGTAATCCCGTAATCTTGTGTACGCCTGAAATGAGAGTGGTGCCCCCTCGCATTTTTCCAAGAAGGACGGAAGCGCCAGTGCGCTTGAAGTGAGGAGTAACGCGCCGCTTGACTCGACTTTAGTGTAACGCGCGCGCGTCGGTGCTGATTATGAAGGACGGTGCAAAAGTGGATCAAGCATTCATTTCCACGAAGTGGGACACGACGCGACGACGTGCCGCATACCTGTTTGTGAGTGTGTGTGTGTGTGTGGGGGGGGGGGTGTATGTGTGTGGTGTGGGTGCAGGTTGTGGTGGTGGGGAGGAGGGGGACGGGAAGCGACTTCAATTTCGTCTCTCTTTTTTAGGCACGAAGTAGCCTTATTTACATTTAACATTCTGAAGCAAGGTTAAAAACCATAGCAGCTTTTTCAAAAGCGGTTAGTCCGTCCTTGAAGAAAAAAACACGGTGAGGTTAAAACCATGTTCCCGGGGAAACTATAATAAGGCAACGTCGTGCCTAAACACATAAGATTTTATTTGTTTGAAAGCAGAGGATGACACCTTTCAATTGAAAAGGGAAACTTTTGAACGGCGACCTCATTTTGGTCATTTTTAGCGAAGCACCAAAAACCTTTTTGAAAATACAGACGAAATTACCGTAAGAAAATTAGGTGTGAAAAGGGGAAAACAAGGAATTCCGTGCAGTCAGTACAGTACGGGCATTAAAACGCGGGTTTTAATGTCCTGCAGGCCAGCTCAGAGCAGAAGTTATGAAGCCCCTTAAAAGTGGGCCAGCACTTTAACGTCATTCCGCGCAACCGCCGTCCCCGCAGTGCGACCAGCTCGCAACGCTTCCTCTCAGACTCTTCGCAGTGGCCGGCAAAATGAATTCGAGGCTGTTGGCGCCTCGCGCCGCCTTACGCCGCGCGGCACTCGAAGCCCAAATAAGGCCTCCTCCTCGAACTGGATTGAAAATTTGCCGGATGGAGTGGTTTCCCACCCCTCGCTCCCTGTCAAGAGGCTGCCCGTGAACCTGCCTCGCCTGCTGGACACGCGGCGGGGCGGGGCGCGGCGGGGCGCGGCGGGGCGCGGCGGGGCGGGGCGGGGCGGGGCGGGGCGCGGCGGGGCGGGGCGCGGCGGGGCGCGGCGGGGCGCGGCGGGGCGCGGCGGGGCGCGGCGGGGCGCGGCGGGGCGCGGCGGGGCGCGGCGGGGCGCGGAGGGGCGCCCTCCCCTCCCCTCGGCAGCCCTTGGCCATGCCTTGGCCATGCCGGCCCTCGCAGCCTCCCTCGGCCCACCCGCACCGTGACGTCACACTGTGAGTGTGACGTCAGCGCCACCGATCGATACAAGGGCCGGGCAGAGGGCTCGTTTGCCTGTCTGTCCGCGGCTCTTGTGTTTTCATGAGGGCGATTCGAAAAGTGGCCGGGGGAAGGGGGAAGCGGCGCATCGCGGCAGTCACAGACGACTGTTTGAGTACTTCGATTGGCCCACCTGATTGCGTGCGAGCCCTGCAGGCCGATTCAGAGGGGCAACGAAAACACTCTCGGATTCGGTCTACTGTCGCGGCGGCACGGCGGCGCGGCGCGGCCCGGCCCGGCCCGCGGCGCGACCGCCGCCTCCACCTCCGAATCGGCGCGAGAATTCGGTTGCAGCCTCGTTCTAGCCGGCTGTTCCGGGGTGCTGGGGATGGGAGGGGGGAGGGCGGGAGCAGAGGGGGAGGGGGGAGGTAGGTTTGCCGCCCTGCCCCGCCGCCAGACGACCCAAGCCTTCCAGGTCAGCGGGCGCGCCGCGCCACTGCGCCGCCCACGCACTGGATCCGGCCAGAGCAGCGCCGGAGGCGACCTTCCTCCCCGTGACCTTTCTCAACGTGCTCGAACGCCGAGGACCGCGGCGGTGGCGTGGCGCGGTGGTGGCAAAGCGGTGGCGTGGCGGTAGCGGTGCGGTGGCGGCGTGGCGGTGGCGAGGCGTGGCGTGGCGTGGGGACGGTTGCAGCTGTGAGCGTGCTTGTCGACTCATTCCGTCCCAGGGATCGACGGGACTTCCTACTCGAATTCAGCGTGCTGCCAGCGTTTGCGGTCACGTAGGTGGATGTGCCTGGCCCTGGCCTGGAGGGCGTGCACGACAACCTAGAGGCCGTGCCGGGCAAACCTAGAGGGCGTACCGACAAACCTGGAGGATGTGCCCAACAAACCTAGAGGGCGTACCGACATACCTGGAAGGCGTTCCCGACAAACCTGGAGGGCGTACCGACAAACCTGGAGGGCGTTCCCAACAAACCTGGAGGGCGTGCCGACAAGCCTGGAGGGCGTGCCTGGCGAACCTAGAGGGCTAGTGGGCTATAACACGGGAAGGGCTCGGGTTCGATGCCGAGGCCCTTGACTCTTTTCTTCAGTTTACCGCTCTAGTCCGGTACCATCAGTCAGAGTGTTTGGGCACAGAACGTGTTCGTTGGGCTCAGTGGGTAAGAGCGTCGATCACCATCAACTATCAAGTCAGCTATCACGTTGTGCCCAACTCCGACTGACGGTGCCTGGTAGCGCGGTCGAGCGTGTGCCTGCACTGTCAGCGGGGCGTCCCTGGTTAGTCCCCGGCGCACTGGCCCACTAGACTACGTCACCGGACACCAGCCCTGTGCCACCCTATGCGCAGCAGAGTGCGACGACGCGTGACGCGTTCACAGAGGGCCTCAGGCGCCCTCGGGGCTGTATAGGGCCAGGCTCCCCAGAGGGCACGGTTCACCTGACCCGCAATGCTTTCCTGGCTTCTCCAATATACGCTGCTTCCCCCCTCCCCCTCTCTTTTTTCCCGGGTGCGCTAGATTCAACCAGAGCTCTCCTAAGACTGGGCTCTGCTGGGCCTCTTCACTGCTCTCCACACGGAAAAAAAGGATTAGTTGTAACAACTAACATGTTGGTTGGAATGCGTCCAAGGAAGATTTTAGTTGCTGCGGCTAAAAGTTTGCTGCAGGAGCAATAATATTAGTTTGACCAACTAACAAATTAAAGTTGGTACAAGGATAAAGTTGATTGTGCCTACAATATGTTAGTTGTGATGACTAACATGAGCGTCACGAGAGAAAATAAGCTTCGTATAAGAAAAACCTTCAGCGGGTATCGATCGCGGAATCTGTGATCTGAGAGCTGCTGAGGCTATCCACTCCGCTGTGGTGAGCTGATAGCGGGAGAATGCCCAATGACGCTGATACAGCAAACTGACCGATGCTAGGACAAGCGACGATTAAATCATCGCCCGAAAGTCGGGTCTCCTAAGAATGTCCGCAGCGCAGTGGGCAGCGTCTCTGATTGACAAACGACAGGTCCTGAGTTCGATTCCCGCCGCAGACTTTTTTCTGTGCGTGGTTTATTTTCTTCCGTGACGCTCGAGTTAATCCTCACAACTAACATAGTGTAGGAATAATCAACTTTATCCTTGAGCCAACTGTAGTTTTTTAGTCGTTTCAACTTATAAATTCGTTCGAGCAGCAAACTTTTAGTCGTGAAAACTAAAATCTTCTTTGGACGCTTTTCAACTAACATGTTAGTTGTCACAACTAATCCTTTTTTTTCGTGCAGGAGTCTAGGGCCCTCGCCTCCGCTTGGCTTCGCTTGGCTTGGCCCGGCTCCGCGTTGCCCCGCTTTGCCTGGCTTCTCCACACCGCGGCCCGGCTGACAGGGCAAGTTGCTCAACGACAAATGGACGCTCAGTCCCTCTTGCCCTTGCATACGAAATGTGCCCCCCGAGGCTCCGAGCGACGCAAAAGTGGAGCGAACGAGGGGCTTCCCACCTGTACCAGCAGACTAGTTCGAGAGTTGTTGTCACCGCTCTGCCTCTCTCGCACCTGTACGGGACAACCCGTGAGTGAGGGAGAGGAGCGACGAAAACGGTTCCCGAATAAATCAATCTTCCGGGCCGGTGGCGCCCGCAACCTGGGTCGGCAGACGTCGCTCGGGCGTCGGAAACGCGGTCACGGTGAACCCGAGCGGGTGGCGAGGGGGGACGAAGCGACAGCGGGCCTCGATGCACTCCTAATCCCTTGCCGGTACACTCGGTGTTGCGGAGACGGTAAAATCTGGGGCTCGCCAGACCGAACCAACATGGCGGTGCTAAATACTACCACCTATTTACGTGCCCATGGATTGCTCTCCGAACGAGGAATCCGTTGGTGGGGGTCCCGCGTTCGGTTCGAGTCCCATAAGCGACTCTAAAGCTACAAACGCGTCCAGAATTTTGGCCACCTCCACCGCGGTCTTCTGGCCCACTGTGCGCCGCCGAAACACAATTACCACCAGGAAAGGCTGGGGAATGTTGCCCGCCTTTCGATTCAGAGTGTGGCAGCAGCGACGCGTCAGCCTCGTCATGTGCGGGGCGGGCTGCAGCGAGCTTGTCGATCGCAGCCCCTTGCTGTGCACAAAAAAAAAAGAAAAAAAAACGCGCCAAAAAACACCTTGGCAGCGCAAATCTGAAAAGGCCAGTGTGTGTCACAACAAAGCGCATTTCTTGTGACACACAGTTATGGCAACACTCTGAATCCGTTAGCGACACACACGTTGCTAAAATGCAGAATATGCCGCCTTTGCAAAGTACGCCAATCTCGTGCTCGGCGGACGATGCGAAAAAGGCGGCTCGCAAAAAGTACCGCCAACTGCGCGGCAGCGCGGCACGGAACGGGCGGGAAAGGTGCCGAGGGGCGGCAAGGCCGTTCTAAAATAACGGGATTTAAAGGACGGCCGCTGCCTATGCAAATTCCCTGCCAATGACGGCCCGGGAACAGTTACTGCCTTCCGCTTTACAGTGAGAGGGAAATCCGATTTGGCTTGTTAACGCGTTCGCTGCCATGCGAGAACACCCACGCTCGTATTAGGCCGGCCCGGACTGCGATGCGCAAGAGCACCGAGGCCGTACCTTTTTCTTTCCTTTTTTGGCTGGGAGGTGCTCTGATGATGGAAAGTGGACTGGTGTACATTTTTGCGGCCACTAGTTTTGGGTGGCGAGGTCTATCACAGTCTGAGCCAAACCACGGACCGAATGATTCGCGCTATACACGCAACGCGTATCGGCTTTTGATTTCGTTCCACGCTGCCACGCACGTCAAAGGGATGATCTGCTCAATGTTTCTGCTCTGCTGGGTTTCGACTGGGCTCTGATGACCGGAAAGGGGTACCAGAAAATCCCGTCAGTTTCGCGTCCCGGAAGCGGGAGGTGAACTCTGGCGTCCGTGTTTACCGATGCCCGTGATGCGGCCTGTCAAACTGCTGGCAAAACAGCCAGTAACAGGCGGTGGCCTCCCCTCGGTTTACGTATATTGGTACATTGCGAGCCATCCTGCCGACGTTTCCAAGGCCTTCCAGTGTACAGCGTTAGGGGCCGGCCTTCAAAGGGCTGTAATTATCGAGCCACTTTAAGCAGGAGATACCTCTCCTTCGGGCAAAAACGCCGCGTTTACACTACACCGTAAGTTGATGAGACTCCATTCGCCTTCCGATTGAGAGGTATAGTCGCGTGTCGACGTGTTGACGCACTGTCAAGCCGAGTGTGAAAAGCGGCACACTGCGAGGGAATTCGCGAGCGCTGCTTGCTCGTGCTTGCTGCCCGCGAGCAACTCGAACGCGTCGACGCCCCGGTGCCCCGCGGAGTCTGCACGCTTTCAAGTGGAGCATTCCACAAGTGTGGAGGCTGCAAGGCTTGCTGCAAGGTGCGCACCTCCGCATTGTGGAAAATCTCGGCCGAGGGGGAAATCACTTTCAAAAATTGTGACCCGACTACTCCCTATTACGTTCTATTGCGCTTTGTTACGCTACGACAGAAGTCTAATTACGTTTGCAAATATCGAGATTTAAGCTTAAATCAGACCCTTATAACGGAAAATTCAGAAAATTTTGGCTATTACGCTATTACTGTTACGCGTCATCCAAGGAATCGGTGACCTGACTATTACGCGAGTGATTTTCCCCTCGATCTCCGCACTTGGCTTGACAGTGTGGCGGGCAAAACCGCGAGTGGCCGCGTGCACTAGCTTCGCCTTACCGTCTCGAACCTTTGAGGCTTTTGGTTGTCCGCTTTTCCTCCGCCTTCGGACGCTCGTATTTGCTGCCTCGTCAACATTCGAAAGCTGTGCCTTTTCAACGCTGTGCTGAATGCCGGAATCGCACTGAGAAAACCGGAGGGAGGACAGGACAGCCCTCGCCTCAAAGTTGGGCGCCGCCGTTCCCAGCCTCGCGGGCGGGGGGGGGAGGGGTTTTAAACAGTGCAGTGCACAACATCGATGCGCGCTGTCTAAAAGCAGCGGCGGCAGATTATGGAGCACTCCGCCGGAGTTTGGCCAGGAGAGTCTGCCGTGTCTGTCTCCCTCGCGCACCACCATCAACGGGGTGCAAGAGTGCACCCCCGTGGGTGCAAGAGAGAGAGAGAGAGAGAGAGAGAGAGAGAGAGAGAGAGAGAGAGAGAGAGAGAGAGAGCGGCCACAGCGCGGCGCCGAATGTCATCAGCGCGACCCTGTTTCTGTTCATCGTGTTTACCGTCCACCCCGCGGGGCCTGGCGGGGCCTGGCGGGGCGCAGCGCGCGCAGCCTCGGCCCGGCCTGCCCGGCCTGCCTGCCTCGCGTTCATTATGCAGCCAAATGGAACCGAGACCGAGACCCGGCAAACACGGCCAAGCACTCACACTCTTTGCGTGTGTGTGTGTGTGTGTAGGTGTGTGTGTGTAGGTGTGTGTGTGTGTGTAGGTGTGTGTGTAGGTGTGTGTGTGTGTGTAGGTGCGTGTGTGAGTGTTGGCTTGTGTGTGCGTGTGTGTGTGTACACGTGTGTGTTTGCGCCCGCTCGCTCGCCATGGCACCATTGCGCGCATTGCATCTCTGTCCCCAACCAACCAGCACTCCGCCTGCGACTCTACCGATAACTACACCTTCTTTTTCTAAAAAAAAATTATACATATATTTTTTGCCAGGAACATAGGCCTTTGGCGCTTTGACAGTGTGTGAGTGTGTTTTGTGTGGTCATTGCAGATGCTGGCGTCGAGCGGGGGTGGCGGCGGCGGCGGGGGCGGCGGGGGCGGCGGGGGCGGCGGGGGCGGCGGGGGCCACCGAGGCCGCTGGCGGCGCCTCGGCAGCCCCGGCAGCTCGGACAGCTCCGACTCGGCGGGCTCCCTGCACCGCGTCCTGCACCCCACCCTGCCTGACGTGGACCTGCACGAAGAGTATGACGTCATCCGCGCCCTGGGCGACGGCTGCTTCGCCAGGGTGCTCCTGGCCCGGCACCGCGCCTCCGACTCCACCGTGGTGCTCAAGGCGGTGCGTACACTGCGTGGACCCGAGAGGTGCACACATGGGATGCGGAGGTGTGGAAGTTCCAGTGGGCCAGAAGACCGGTGGAGGCGGCCAAAACTCTGGACGCGTTTCGAGCTCCAGAGTCGCTGAACAGGACTCGAACGGAATGGGTGAGCCCTCCTCGTCAGGAAAGCTATCCATTGGTAGGGTCACACGGTCGGTTTGAGTCACATCTAGCAACTCCCGTCTTGGATTTTGAACGTCTCCACGGGTCTTCTGGCCAGGCCTGACTGCCGAGTCCCTGCAGTAGTATTCGCACTTGGAAGTGCAGAGTTTTCAGTCTCGACACTTGGTGTGCTGACTGCGAAATCTCCACTTCAAAGTGTCGAGAATCACTCCACTCTCAAGTTTGCTGTGCGATCAGTGTATCACAATTTGTAAGACTGATGCGCCTGGCCTCCGCCCCACTGCAGGTCCACTGCGAGCTGACGACCCTCAGGGAATTCTACCGCGAGTACCACTACGCGTACCGCCTGTCGCCGCACCCCAACATCGTGAACACCTTCTCGGTGGCGTTCCGCGCCCCGCTGGAGCAGAGCCTGGTGTTCGCCTCGGAGGCCGCCCCGCTGGGCGACCTCATGGGGCTGGTGCGTGCTGGCGGGCTGCCCGAGGCCCCCGTCAAGCGCGTGGCTCAGCAGGTCGCCGCCGCCCTCAACTTCATGCACACTTCCAGGCTGGTAAGGGCAGGCCGGGGGCCGAGCCTGGGGCCGAGCCTGGGGCCGAGCCTGGGGCAGGCCGGCAGGCATACCAGACGGCAGGCTGCTTCCGAGAGTCGCTGTCGTCGTCGCTCTGTCTCTCTCGCGCCTGTACGGGAAGCCTGTACGGGACGCCCCGTGAGGGCGAGCGAGACAGACAAAAGCGGCCCTCGGACAGTGTGCAGACCTCGGTGCAGACGAGCCAAGGGCCGCGAAGGGTCGAGGAGGGCTGCCGCTTCCGCATAGCGAACGCGTCGGCCGGAGCAATGCAGCTATGCAGACCGCAGTCGGTGCGAGGGAGCAACGAATCGCACCCTATCCCGGGAATGCCGCGCCCTTCAGTGGCCGGATTCTTGCGTGAAATCGGTCGAAACCTCGCGATAGCCCTGCGGAATCTGGTGAGACATCGGGAAATCGGGAGTGATTCCATCAAAGTCCCGCGAAAGCTTCCGGAGACTCGTGAAATCTGGAAACATGAAAACGTAGACTTCACTCGTGTAAATCTTGTCAGCATGTCAGAAATCCAACATGCCTGGAAACCTGATCAAAATTCACGCACCTCTGAAAGCTGAAAACTTATTCTGAGATTCCGCAAAATTCAGGCTTTCAGTAGAGTAAGTTTTCAGAATTTCCGCTTTTCAGAGGTGCCCGAATTTCGATCAGGGTTGCTGATATTCTCACAAAATTTACACGAGTGTCTTAGACTTGTGTGGAGGGCAAGAGAGGTGAAGGCGTACCGCTCTGCAGGTGCACCGCGACATCAAGCCGGAGAACATCCTGGTGTGGCACGCGGACTGCACCCTGGTCAAGCTGTGCGACTTCGGGAGCACGCGCACGGTGGGCGAGCTGGCGATGCGTCCGCGCGGCGCGTGGTGCGCGGCCCTGGCGCCCGAGCTGACCGACGCGGTGCGCAACGAGCGCGTGCCCTCCAAGCCCGCCGCCGACGTCTGGGCCCTCGCCGTCACCATCGTCGTGTGCCTGACGGGGAACTCGCCGTGGCACACGCCCGCCGCCATCGCCGACCCCAACTACAGGGCCTACCGGCGCTGGCAGAAGCGGCGCACCGCCCAGGTGCCACTCGCCTTCAGGAAGTTCTCGCCCAGGTGAGGCTTCCCTCCCCCGACTGGCTTCCCGCCTGGAGGGCCTGCACTGTCAAACTCGACACTAGGAGCGCCCGACGGCCGCCGCGTAGGCCAGCCCGCCGCACCGCCACGCGCCGTCCGCGCCGAGTAGCCCCCTCTCCCCTCGTATATTTCCAAGAGACGAGAAAACGCTCTGCATAAGCACGCCTGGCAGGTAAATGTACCATCTGATAAAAAGTGTTTCCCCCCGAGCAGGCAGCAAAATTGCAAAGTGTGAATAACCAGAGTGTTGAACTAGGTCAGGGGAAAAACGTCGTGTTGACGTGACCCAATTTCTGGTCGCGGCGTTGCGAAGCGTTAGCGCCTCGAGCTGCAGCCCCTGTAGACTGATACCGAGCGTCGTTTTCGTCGCCCTGTCTCTCTCGCACGTGCAGGGGAGGCCTAAGGGTGCGAGAGAGACAGGGCGACGAAAATCGACCCTCGGAATCAGTCTGCTGCAGCCTGCAGCTAGCCCCGGAGATTAAAGCATTGACGCTGACTTTTTTTCCTGCCCCCTCCCCCTGCCCCCTGCCTCTGGCGCGACGGCCACGGCGGGGCGACAAGTCAATCAGTGTCCTGGCGAGGCGAGGCGATTGAAGCGGCCGGGGCAACACGGCTGGGGCGACTCTTTTGAGCGTTTTGAGCTCCAATGGCGGTGGAGCCACACGTTCGGTTCGAGTCTTCTGGAGCTCAAAACGCGTCCGGTCTTTTGGCCCTGGAGCCCGCTACTCTGCACGAAAAATAAACAGATTAGTTGCCAGACGCCCCAAAGAACATTTCAGTTGATATTTCCAAAAGAAGTTGTCGTAACGAGCGCTTTAGTTTCTATATCTTAACAATTGCGGTAAAGCAACTTATTTTATTTTAAATTTTATCAACTAATCTGTTCCTTGGGACCGCTGAGAATCGTGACGACTAATTCTCTTTTCCGCGATAGGCTGCTGCGCATGCTGAAGCGCATGCTGGAGGCGCACCCGGAGAAGCGGCCGGCCGTCACCGAGGTCGACAAGTACCTGAAGGACGCCTGGTTCCTGGACGGCGGCAAGGGCCCCAGCCCGTCCTCCTCTGCGCACGCCGTCTTCGCGGGGTCGCCCACGGAGCCGTACGGGCCCCAGCCACGCGGGCCTCGCGCCAACGGCCAGCCCAGGGGCCCCAGGGGGCACTTCAACGTGTGCCCGCAGTGCCCCGAGCCCACCTCCGGGCCGGCGGACAAGCCCGACCCCGCCAAGGGCCGCCTCCGGGACATCCTGACCAGCTACGGCCTGGAGACCACGGTGGACGAGGGCACGGCCAACCAGCGCATCGAGGCCTGGGTGGGTACACTGTGGAGAACTCCTCACTGACCGGCGCGAGGGGGTAAAACACTCCGGTGAACCTTGTACAGACTACTCCCTATTACGGGGTATTACACTTGTATTACGCATGTATTACGCCTCGATTTCATTGAAAAATGACATTTTTTGATACTTTTGGTCCCACAATGTATTACTATTACGCGTATTACGATGTAATAGCCGACTTTTGTGTACAGGGTATACCGCGAGTGTTTACCCCCCTCGGCCCGGCGCGCGGCGCGGAGGGATTCTCCGCACTTGGAAGTGCGTTTGTTGCAGTCTCCCCCTGCAAGTGTGGAGCAGCTCACGGAACCCCTATCTCTTGCCACACTTGCAGGGGGAGACTGCAATGTCCGCACTTGCAAGTGCGGAGCCTGCAAGTCGCACCGCCCCGCGCCCCACGCAGCGAGGCTCAACAGTGAGCAGCCAGCTGGCTGGGGCGCGGGGGCTCCGCGCGGGGAGGGGCGTGCTAACGCGGGGCGTCTTGCAACAGGTGCGGAGCTGCCAGCGCCCCCCGTCGTTCCACGAGTCCGTGGGCATTTGAAGGTCGCTCGCCCTGGTGCCGCCTCCAGTGCCGCCAAGGGCGGGCGAGGCGCGCCAGGGCGACCAGGGCGAGCGGGGCGAGCGGGGCGAGCAGGGCCCCTCCCGGCGCGCGGTGCACGCTGCGGACGCTGGGCACGCTGCGCGGCACACTGGACACGCTGCGCACGCTGGGCACGCAGCGGACGAAACTGGACACGCTGCGCACGCTGGGCACGCTGCGGACGCTGGGCACGCTGCGCGGCACACTGGACACGCTGCGCACGCTGGGCACGCAGCGGACGAAACTGGACACGCTGCGCACGCTGGGCACGCTGCGGACGCTGGGCACGCTGCGCGGCACACTGGACACGCTGCGGCACGCTGCACGGGCACGCGGCGACACTGGACACGCTGCACGCTGGCACGCTGGGGCACGCTGCACCGCGGCACCTGGGACACGCTGCACACGCTGGGCACGCTGCACACGCTGGGCACGCTGCGCGGCACACTGGACACGCTGCACACGCTGGGCACGCTGCGCGGCACGCTGCACACGCTGGGCACGCTGCGCGGCACACTGGACACGCTGCACACGCTGGGCACGCTGCGCGGCACACTGGACACGCTGCACACGCTGGGCACGCTGCGCGGCACCTGGACACGCCGCCACCGGGACCTCGCGGCGAGGACACGCTGCACACGAAAACACTACCCTGAAGACGGCTACGCGCGCAGCGGCGCCACCTGCACCCATCGGTGGAGCCGCGCTCGTCGAGCAAAACTCGACGGAGGGCCGGTCCCTCGACGTGGATCCGACTCAGTCGGGCGCTCGTGCATCTCGCGACCCTCGGACACAGGCCGTGCTGCATCAGCGCCTCGCCGCCGTGCTGCACACCCTCAACCTCCAACATCCCCTGCCCGACCCCCGGCCAGCCCCACGGGCCAGCCCGCCCGCCGGCCAGGGGTCCGGCTCCCGCGACGCCGATGCGGGAAGGCCTCGGGGATTGCATCGGTGGGTCGTCGACTGCAGAACAAGGCCGTGCTGCTGTGCCTCCTCGTGTGCCTCTTCCTCAAGATGGCCCTCTGGCTGTAGGCCGGCTCAGCCCGCCCGGCTCAGCCCGCCCGGCTCGGCCCCAAGGGGATTCGCGGCTCTCTTGTGCGCGACGCGATGGGGAAATTGCACAATGGGAATGATTGTCATCATCGGTGGGTCTCGACTGCAGAACGTCCTAATCTTACTTCTATTCTCCTAGGACACTGGTGAAACTGAAGCTTGGTTCCATCCTAGCGCACAACTGCGCTTGAAGTCAAGTTGGAGGAGAAACTCTCCCAGGCATTTGGACAGGCGCGAGGGGAGCGGAGTGCTGGGCCTGAAATTAATCGTAGCAGCACTTACGCTTGATGAGAGGCGTGCGAGTGCGCTGCAGTTCTGCCAGTAGATTGACGCGAATATCCCTTTGTTTGGGTGCGTGCCCGTGGGTGCACTTTGAGGAATCTCGGCGCAGCAGCGCGGCTAGTTTCGACGAGGACACGGTGGTGCATGTGCAGCACGTCCGGATGGACAGGACGATTAAAGATGCAAGGCCTTCAACTTGTGTTTTCTCTGTTTTACTATGTGCAGCGTCCGGGTGGACAGGATGACTAGGGAGGCAAGGCCTTCGTCTTTTAATTTCTCTGTGTTACTGTGTGCGGATGTACGAATGGACAGGGCGACTAAGGAGGCAAGGCCCTCATCTTGTGTTTTCATTGTGTTACTAGTATGTATGTCCGAATGGAAAGGGCGACTAAGAGGGCAAAGCCTTCGTCTTGTTTTTTCTCTGTGTTACTATGTTACTATGTGTTACTATGTTACTATGTGTCACTATGTTATATGTTACAAAGTGTTACTTTGTGTTAGAAAAGCCTACGTATGCGACTTTGTGCCAAGTAGAAGCGTGTTTGAGCGCGTTAGTTTGTTAAGTGTTATTTTACTGTTATCTTGTTGGTGTTTAGTCCCCTCTTAAACTCAAACTCAAACTTGATTCAAAAGACCATTGTCTAAATTTTTGAGCGTTCCTTTGCATATCGTTACTAGAACATCAACTGCAGACTAAATGTTTATGTACCTTTATTCTCCACAAGTATTGACTTATTCAAACATCTGTGAGCACAATTTCACACACAATTCATGTATATTACCATGTAGTGTTTAAGTATTTATAAAATTGTACCTATAATATATGCACACATTTGTACATAACTTGCACCTATACAAATACGCCAATGCATATGAACCAAAGGTCCATGAGCATTTAGAGTGGAGGGGTGCCGTCATGTCTCAGCATTCTGCAGGGGATGATTAGGCGTTCATATTGTATTCTTGACTTAAATACTTTGATGATTTCTCAGTGTTTAGACTGTCTGTTTTCTTCGCACGATGTGTGTTCGTAGAAAAGTGAGATAAAACTTGCGCAGTATTTCCTCCCTGTCAAACCATGTGTGGAGAGCTCCTCACTTCCTGGTGCGGGGGAATTCCCCGCGAGTGGAAACTTTCACGCCGCCGCATTCAAAGAGTGGAGTTCTCCACACTTGGTTTGACAGTGATTTGCCTTTCTGTAGACATATTTTTTCTAAACCTACACACACGTCGATGGATCAGTTTCACATATCGTGAAGTAGGCTAAGGGTAACGAATGGACTGGGCGCGCTCTTGTGCAACGGAAAGAAAACAATGTGCTGTGAGGTTTCAAGCATGTACATATAATTAGGTCGCGATTTAAGCGTGTGGTGTGCTGGCGCACCGTGGGAATAAAGAGAGTTCTTTGGAATGAGTATTTATCAGGGCATTGGCCTGGCCGTACCAGTTGGCCTACAGTCTCCGAAAGCAAAGTCGCATTCACCTTGATGCAGGTGGGCGGTCAGGGTCCGCTCGGATGCAAAGAGCTTTCCAGAGTGTCCACTCGTCCCACGGAGGGCGAAGGCCTTAAGGTGTCCACTCGTCCCGCGGAGCGCGAAAAACTGGGGTGTCCACGGGGTGACGGAACTTTTCCGTGACGCTCTCGTTCGTTACAAGCAACCCTGCACCAATTCATCGACTGATTCCTCACATCGCCATAATCGCTCTGTCACTCTCGCCCGCGAGAGGTTTTCCGCGTCAGTGCGAGAGAGAGGGAGCGACGAAAGCCACCCCACCCATACGGAGTCGTGGTGCACTCGAACGAGGCTGAGCGCCGCGCGCTTGACGGCCACCCCCAGGACGCCCCCAGGACACACAGGCAGCCTGCCGGAGAATGCGATGCGCTCCCTTCGATGTTAAAGTAACTGTTCAAGGTTCAAGCTCAACCCTCCATTCCAAAATTAGAAATCCCGAAAAAGAAAGCATAACTACTCGGAAACTGGTACGTGCTTTACGGCTGCTCTCATACCTTACAAAAAAAAGTTCTAGTAATTTTTTTACAAAGAAATTTAAGCACACATTTATGACTTCAACTACGAAAAATTCCTTTGAATTTACGAAACAAATTCTTTGTGAAATGCTTTAAGTGTTGTAGTTTTAATCCGACACCTCGTGAGGCTTTTTATCTTCGGTGTTTTCCAAGAACTCGTTTTTCAGGCCGCGTGATCGCTTGGTGGCTATGGTATCTCCCAAAGGCGGCCGCGCGGCAATATTTTTAATCTGAGAAGCCTGAGGCCTGTGGCCCTAGTACCACTCAATTTTGAGGCGAATGTCACCGAAATTTTTTCTTCTTTTTGTGTAGACACATCGCTATCGCTGTGATCCAGCGCATACAAAGTAGTATTGCGTTTTTGCATAAGTTTCAGCCGCCGCTCGGCGCTCAGGTTCAGACAATATTTATCTTAATGGACCAATGTATTCTCTTCGTAGCTGTGTGACTTCAATTATGGAAAAATACGTATTCTTGTACTAAGAAAAGGGCATTAAACTAACAGCAATATTTTTTCTCGTTACTTGTTGCGGCCTTCTTAATCCAAATCATAACTATTTTTCTCTTTCGCGCCTTATTAGAATAACCCTGTAAAAGGTAGCTAAATTTTATTTTTAAAATTTAGTTAGAAGAAATTCAGATTGTACCCGATCAATATTTGCACGTATTTTTCCATAAGAACTCCTCGTTCTGTACCACTGACTGTTTATGTAAAAAGTGACTTTCTGACTTTCTTTCAAAAACTTTTTGTTCGGCGTCGTCCAAGGGAGCAAAAACTGAAATTATGCTGTGCATTTTTTTTTTCTGGAAAAAAGTTAAAAATTATAGTCAAACTAAAGTAACGTAAATTGACCTTACAAAAAGAAGTTTTTTTCTCTCCTCGGCGTCGTCGAAATTTTTAAATATAAACCGCAGGTAAAACAGGAAGTCGTCATAATGAAGTCATTACGATATCATCCAAGCCATCGAAAACTGGTCGAATATGGAGTCATGTCGACTGAGATTGTGACTCTGAGTTACACCTGGGCCGATACTTATTCACATTATTTATTAGATCGGTGTCAAATTTTGTAGGTTGTGTGTGTAGATGTTGAAACTATGTCACAATACAGGGTGGCTCATATAACGCACTTAAAAATGTACTGACAAAACTTCGATTGCTCGGCATGGCTTAAGAGCATGCATATGTAAAAGACGCGCTAAGTAGCAGATTTCATTATGCCGTTGGCTTAAGAGCCCACGAGAGAATGTTGCCACTGAAACCAAGATCCAGATTTCCGCCATTTTCCTGGATGATCACATACAAAAGTTTCAATTTTCCGTTTTACATCCTGTTTTGAAAACAAAGAAGGTTACAAACATAATGCGGAGGACAATAATATAATGAAACCAAGTTTAACGATTGAGATTTTCTATGCATAGCGTATGCGTAAAGATACTCGTGTAAAGATGACAACAAGATGTTTGTAAGCTACCGGGTCTCATATGCAGGGTCTCAAAAGAAGGAAAAATTGAAGCCCCACCTGTCTCGCGGGTGAACGGTGAACCATGCTGGTAGTTTAACTTTGAGATGACATTGCCATTGTTTGCATTTTTGAAGTGCGTATCTTATGGACCGCCCAATTTTCGATGTTACTACTATATATATACATTATTAAACGTCTATAGATTATTTCCACAATCTTGTCACATCTGGATTATGGAGGGATATGACTCTCTTCTGAAAACTGTGTATCAAAATACTCTCAATAGATTTTGATAAGTAGGTTGGTGTTGTTTTTCCACTTCCCACCCCACTTCACCCCACTTCGGCTCGACAAGGCCGCCCCGTGCCTGGCGGCCCCGCAAACACACTCCGAATACCAGTTATTCTGTCTGGCTGGCTGGCCGGCCGGCGGGGAGACGAGATAAACATTTCCGCTGCTGCGCGGCGTGCCGTATGCGATTCGGCCGCCGGCGGTTTGGCTCCGTCTCTCTCGCACCTGTACGGAACGCCCCATGAGTGGGAGAGAGACAGAGACTGACCGCGGTGATGGCGGGGATAGCGCTGTTCCCGGAGGTGCGGTTGGGGAAAGTGCCCGCGAGAATAACGACGAAAAATCGGTTCTTGTTTTTTTTTTCTTTTCTGAGATGAGGTTTTAATTTAAATAATTTAGTTTCGTTTTATATATACACAACATTAAGTTAGCCTTATCACTATGTACAGGGGTCTGGACGTCGGAGGGGCCGCGGTCGCGTCGGCCATGATGGTTCGGCCTGGAAATAAATTAGTGGTGGGGAGGGGAGGCGCTCACTGGCCGGGGATGTGGCTGCCCTTGGCGCGGAAGCCGTTCTCGTCGGCGATGTACTCCACGGTGATGGGGATGCCCTCGGGGCTGATGTACGAGTAGGAGCCGCTCTTGGCCAGGACGTACTCCCAGCCGCCGTTGGTGGTGATGAGGCGGCCCTGCTCGGACACCTGGGTGCCCTTGTCGTCGGAGAAGCTGCGGAACAGAGGGGGGCGTCAGCGTGGCGGTGTGGATTGTGGAGTGCAGTAGCTCACAGAGTCCCGTCAGGGTGCAAACGTGGAGAGCTCCACACTTGAAGTGTGGGAGACTGCGAACTGCACTTGCAAGTTTCCAGTTTGGAGTACGCGCCGCGTGGACGAGTGCACTTACCCGTGGGAGTACTGGTTGCGGTCGTCGCGGAGCTCCACGCGGGTGTTGGGCGGGATGACGACCTCCTCGGACAGCAGCTCGCCGCTCTCCTTGTTGGGGGTGCCGTAGTTGTTGGCGGGCGGGGCGGGGGCGGCCACGGGCGCGGGGGCGGGGGCGGCGGCCACGGGGGCGGGGGCGGGCCGGAACTCGGACAGGAGCTCACCGCCTTCCTTGAGGGGAGCGCCGTACGCGGCGGCGGGGGGGCCGTACGCGGGGGCGGGGGCGGCGTAGACTGGCGCGGGGGCGGGGGCGGCGTAGAGGGCGGCGGGTGCGGGCGCGGGGGGCGGGGCGGGCGGGGCGTAGACTGGCGCGGGGGCGGGCACGGGCGGCGAGTAGGCGACGGCGGGTGCCGGGGCGCTGGCCGGGACGGCGTACTGGGGCGCGGCGCTGGTGAGCGCCAGCAAGGCGAACAGGGCGATGCACTGGAACAGCAGCGAGGACGCCGTTAGCAGGAGACTTGGACGCCAGAGGCCGCGTGCTGGTTCTCGGTTTGCCTCGCACAGTGGGCCAGAAGACCGGTGGAGTCCGTCCCGGACGGGTTTTGAGCTCCACCGTCGCGAAATGGGAAACGAACCAAACGTGTGACCCCACCAACGGATTGCTCTCCGAACGAGGAATCCATTGGTGGGGTCGCACGCTCCGTTCGAGTCCTGTTTAGCGACTCCGGAGCTCAAAAAGCGTCTCGAGATGCCGCCTGCGACGGTCTTCTGGCCCACGGTGCCTCGCCTCGCCGGCCACTTACGATCATTGTGGTGCCTTGCTGTTGTGAGCGTTCACGTCGAAGTGGCTGTGGCTAGGTCGCGGTCGGCTTATATACCGGCCGGCGGCTGCCCCTTGGCTGCCCCGCCGCGCTGCCCCGCCGCCCCCCGCGCGCCCCGCTGCAGCCTGCAGCCTGCAGCCCTGCAGCCCCTGCAGCCCCTGCAGCCTCTCCGGACGTCACGGGCTGATAAGAAGTCGCGGATGCGGAGGGAGACAGGGCGGCAGACAGGGACGCGCGGCTGGACCGCACGCCGCGGCACGCCGCGCCATGCCGTGCACGGAACGGGACGCATTGCTTCGTTTTTTCTGCCGCAATTAAACTTGGAAACTTACGGCAGGAAGTGCCGGCGGGGGGGGGGGGGTGCGCGTGCCGCGGTAGTCGCATTGTCACCGCCATTCATGTTGCCTTTGGCTGTCAAAGTCAGTTGACTGGAAAAAGAAATCATTGCGTCCCACACAGGTAAAACTAACGTGTTAGCTATACCTACGCTTCATTCAAGTACACGTCTGGGCTGGGAGACTACACTGCAAATCCAAGTGTGAGACAGTCTCACACGATTAAGTGTGAGCCACTCCTTGCGAGCTTGGGACAAACGTGGCTCACACTTGTTAGCCACGACACTTCGCACTAAATAGTGTGAGACTGTCTCACACTTGGATTTGCAGTGTATACGATTGAAGTCAGGCGTAGAGAAGAAATTCAACCGTTTATTTAGACTGGCGCGAGTGGAACGGAACGGAGAACTTCACTTAAAGTAAAGTTAAGCGCAGCACTACGCTCCAAGATAGTTCCAACACAATGCACACAAGCATTATTGACGACATACTTTGGACGCGCCCAGACAAAACGTTGGTGGTGTCGCAACAACAAAAATCCTGGTACTACTCGTAAGACATCATGCTCTTTTTTTTTCGTTTTTTTTTTGGGGGGGGGGGGGGCGGATGAAAGGTAAGCAAAAAGCCTGCACCTATCAGCACTCGTGTAAATTTTGTCAGAATGTCAGAAACATGTCTGAAATCCTGATTCAAATTCGTGCATCTCTAAAAACTGAAATTCTGAAAACTTATTCTAAAATTGATGGCCTGCGTTTAGAATGTCCAGCTTTCAGGGATGCACGAATTTTGATCAGGTTTTCAGACAGGTTTCTGACGTTCTGGCAAGATATACACGAGTGAATGTAGGAACTCATACCGGCAGTCAGCCTGTCAGACATCGCGTCTGCCCAGCGTCCGCCAGTGACGGTGACAAACACATTCGGAGGAGTGACTAACCCACCGCATGGCCTCATTATCGAGCAAAACTATAAAACGCCGCATAGAATCAGAAGAACCGCCGCCAGGTATTCTGGGAAGCGAGACGAAAAACTCCCCCATGCCAGACTTTCGATGTGATACGCTTTCTCATAAATGGCTGCTGACCAATGATCATGGTCGGGACGTGGTGGCAGGTTCGGCGGTGGTTTTACTTTAGTTCCCACGACGGACACAAAATATGACAGTCATTTTATTGGTATTTTTTCGTAGTGATGTATGAAAAACTTACAGGACTTTCTAAAATTACTTGCGCACGAAATCGTGCGTTACACGCGCATGCTAAATTTCGTGCAAAAGCTATGAACAAAAAAAATATACGTTGTAATTTAGTGTGCACAACAAGATATTTTTGGTGTTGTTTTTCACGTTTCCCCGCTTCATTGACGGCCCAGCGTAATAAGAGTAACCGCGGTAAAAATAAAGTGTCTCGTCGTCGCGTCCGTGTCCCCCGAGGCGCGGCCGTGACGAGACACGTGGCGTGGCGACACGTGCGGCACCGCGCCTACACTGTCATGTCAAACCAAACTGCGGAGAACTCCACACTCCCTGGTGAGGAGTAGCTACTTCTCCCCACTGGGGCGTGTGGAGTTTGCAGTCCCCACACTTCGTGCGGAACAAGCTCACAGAGCCCAGACCTCTCGGCTCTTGGCTTGGTGCAAACGTGGAGCTCCTTCCTTGAAGTGAGGAGACTGTAAGGCTCTGCGCTTGCATGTGCGGAGACTGCAAATTCCACTTCCAAACCTCCGCACAGTGGGCCAGAAGAACAGCTAGGGCGGTCAAAACCCTAGACGCGTTTTGAGCTCGAGTCGTTAAATAGTACTTGAGTCGAGCGTGTGACCCCACCAATGGATTCCTCGTCCGGAGAGCAATCCATTGGTGGGGTCACACGTTCGGTTCGAGTCCCATTTAGCGACTCTGGAGCTCAAACCGCGTCTTGAGTTTTGGCCGCCTTCACTGGCCTTCTAGCCCACTGCGCTCCGCATTTCAAGTGTAGACTTCTCGCATGGTTTCACAGTGTGGCACCGGCCAACGCGTGCCGCCAAAGGCAGCCAAAGGCAGCCAGAGGCCGCTCTCCGATTTAGCGGACGTCACACGCACAGCGCGCGCATTGCGGCCGACTCGGCCAGTAATCTCTTCTTCTCATTTTAGTTTCCGCCCAGCGCGGCCAGCGCAGCACGAGCGCGCAAGCGGGGCGCAAGCGGGGCGCAAGCGGGCGTAAGCGCACCGCTGCGTTGCGGTCTGGATTTTCCTCCGGACGGCCGAGCGATTCAGAAGATCGCTTTGTCGCTCTGTCTCTCTCGCACCCTCACGGAGAGTCGCATGAGTGCGAGAGAGACAGAGCGACGAAACGACTCTTCGGAATCTGCAAGTCACGGGCTCCCCACTCTGAAAACCTTACGAAGTAAAGTAGCTTCATACGACAAAGAATTTTGAACACACGCAAGCTTACAAAGAAACAAGTTCGTAATTTACGAACTTTTTCTTCGGATAACGTAAATTAGTTTACGTATGCTCTCAAAATACTCCTCCTTGATGTCCCTCGTCGTGTTCGATGGCGGCGAGCGCGCTCTGTCTCTCTCTCAGGCCCATACGCGGCTGGAGTGCGAGAGAGGCAAGACCGGAGACACTGTTGTTCGGAATCAAACTGCAGCCTCGCGACGCCCCTACTCCGGGCGGCCCTCCGAACAGCGCTTCGTGGCTCCGTCCCTCTCGCACCCCTACGAAACGCCCCTCGAGTGCGAGAGAGACGGAGCAGCGGCGAGTGACGGACACCGCGGTGGCAGTTCGCGCCGCAGCGCCGCCGCAGACTGAGAGTCGTCTTCGTCTCCCTGGCTCTCTCGCACTCATGAGGCGTCCCGTGAGGGTGCAAGAGAGACGGAGCGACAAGAACGACTCTTAGTCTGCGGCGGAGGGAAGGGGCTGTGTGGCCGTGCGCGGGTCGCGGCGATCTGTTGTTGTGAGTTGGGGGGGGGGGGGGGGCTTGGATCAGGGAAGGGGGAGGGCTCGCGTGTCTAAGCCCGTGTCGCGGTGGTGGCGTAACGGCGAGTGTGACGGCGTGTGCGCCCCGGCCAGAGTGTCAACCGTGTCTACGTGTCAACCGACTCCGTTTCCGGGAACACGCCGGCCACGGCCTGCAGACTGAGAGTCGTTTTCGTCGCTGTCTCTCTCGCACATATGGGGCGTTCCCTACGGGTGCGAGAGGGACAGCGACGAAACCGCCGCTCGGAATCAAACATGAGCGCGGCGTGCCCTCCAGGCCCTCCAGCGCCGGGGCAAGGTCAGGCTGCACGCCGTGCACGCCGTGTGCGTAGTCCGGGGCCAAGCCGGGGGCCGTGGAGCTTCGTGGACCCTATCGCCGCCAGCTGGCTCATTCCGAACGGGACGTGTCTCTCTCTCTCTCTCTCTCTCTCTCTCTCTCTCTCTCTCTCTCGCACTCACGGGGCGCCCCGCTAGGCCGCTGGGGTGCGACAGAGACATATGACTCCGCGTGCCGCGCTCCGGACCACCAAGTGCCGCCCTTCCCTCGCGGTGGAGCGGCCATTTCGGATGCGGGGGGCGGCTGCACTATGAGAAATCCCCCTCGCACCGCGGAATGTGGCTTTGAGACGCTGGGAATATTTCGGGCCGACGGGTTCTGCATTTCATTGACGCCACCCGGAGCCACCGCCGCCCCAGCCCATGGACGAATCGAGCCCGGCGCCGGTGCGTCGATGACACAGATGTGTGCGAGATATCGGAGGCATCTGGAACGCGGGGGCCGGGGGGGCTTATTGGGTGCATGGCGCCAAGCCAAGCTGCTCATGGCCAGGTCCGTCAGACCGTCAGACCCCACGCTCCGGTCTGTGGAGGCCACTCCGCAGCAACAAGCAACACCCCCGGCTGCCACCGGCCTTCCCAGTTGTGTCGGGAGGTAGCACCCACGACCATTTGTGGGCCAGCCAGGGCCGGCCGCTCAAGTTCAAGTTCAAGTTCGACCGGGGCGCCGCCGCCTCGCGCCGCCGCCTGCGGACCGGACGTCGGCATCCCGGCGGCCAGCCATGTGTGCCGGACCGGCCGGGCCGGGAATGTTGCCTGCCTCCCCGGCGCTCGCCAGCAGAGCCAGCAGCGCCGAGCCAGCAGCGCCGAGCCATTCCGAACATCGCTTTCGTCGCTCCGTCTCTGTCAGGCGCGGCGGCGCGGAAGGCCCGGATACAGGGGAGCAATGGGGTTTTTGACCCCCCCCCCCCATAGCCCTTAGATAGCCGCCTGAAAGGTAGGCAGAAAGTGCTACTTTGCCCCTGTAAGTAGGCAAAAAGTGCTACTTTGTCCCCCTCCCCATAGGCCGCCTCTGGATCCGCCACTGGTCTCCGTCGCCCTCGGGGCGTCCCGTGCAGGTGCTGCAGGCAGAGTGACGAAGTTTGCATAGTGCGCTCTGCAGTCTGCATCTACGAGGCCGCGCCGCGCCGGCCCACCCGGCCCCGGCAGCGGGGTGTGCTCCGATAGAGCAATCCACTGGACCAGTGGGGTCACACGTCCCGTTCGAGTCCTGGTTTAGGGACTCTGGGGCTCATGCCTATTCTTGTCTGTCTTGCAGGCGCTTGCAGTGCAGGTGACCCTGAGCCTACCTCTCTGCCTTTCTGCCTCTGTCTCACTAGCGTCCCGCCAGTCCTAGCCACTAGAAATTGTCCTTCGGTCCCCTGACTCGGTTGCTCGCACATGTCTGGAACAGACATGAACCGGGAGTGCGCGGTAAGCATGAGGCGTCAATACATTTTAAAATGTATTTAATCATAAGCAAAAATTGACAGGATAAGTAAAAATATAAATTAAAGAAAAATAAAAAGTAAAAATAAAATTACATAAGTTTTGGTATAAATTAAACCCAGTGATGCTTGTGTGGCTAGCACCATCTGGATTAGTCCTTAACACGGTGGTGCTATAAGCACAGTTTGCAAGCTTAATTTCCTCCTTTGGAGAAATAAATGTAAAATGAACAAGATACTACACACTGCGCTCGTCTGGTCCTTTGTATGGATAATCTATGTATTCAAAAATGTCCTTCTCACTAGCCAGGAATACAGGTTCTCCAGGGACACCTGTACAAAATTGATTTAACTTCACTAAGTTGTATTTTCATGGGAAGTGATAATTTAACACACATTTAAGTTAAACAATCACTTACCTGTTGAGCCAAGGGGTCGAAGACTGTATTCATTCAGAGTGTATCCTTTTTGGAGTGCATGAGTGCGCATTTCCTTATTGAACATGTCACTGCCCGTGAAATAAAGAATACTGCACCAGTACTGGTCTTGAGGTGTCAAGCGGATGTCTAATCTTCGCACCGGATGTTTTTCACTAAGACGGCATGCCCCCTATTTTCAGCATAGGCATGTTTGTGATCAGCTCAATATTTTGCATTAATCATTTAAGTCTTCTAGGAATACCTAGTTATCAAACTTACCATGAATTTGACATCACCGTGGCTTAAAGTATCACATATGAGTCCACATTCTTCAAGACATTTTGTGACATCCTTCAAGAGGTGAGATTTAGTCTTGGCTTTCACATCTGATGTGAAACTGGGATGAGTGATCAAAGCATCAATGTCACCACTCTCTGATTTCCCTCTCCTGTTTTTGCAACAGAATTATGAATAAAGTTTGATCACATCCAAGTTATAAAACGAACAATCATTTATTTGATACATTCACTGAAGGGTGAGTTCACAGTCACTGTGTTTTCCTTTACTTGCGAACCCAACCTACGGTAAACGTCTTAAATAAATTCAATGAGAATCACACAGTACCGATAACTTCCACAAATGGTGACAATATAGTCCGAGTCAAGGTCAGATATCTTCTTGACCAGAACTGCTTCTATCTCTTCTATTTCACTGCGAGGGATTTTTACTTCAAAATCATTGAAATATCTAAGGAAAAAAATAAGTTGCAGAAGAAAATTTGTTTGATTAAAATCTATCCTACAATATAAATCTAAGTAGTGATGACAGGAGCTAAAACCTACTTCAAACCAATAAGTTGATGATGGTTTAATTTTTCTTTATGACTCTCAAGATCTTCAATAGACCTTATGCCATCATTGACAAGCTCTTTTGCTTTAGCTGGTCCTATACCTGACACTCTGGTTAAGAGTGTAACAGCTGTACTTGTATCATCCGAATGAATCTGGAATCATATGAGATTAAATTAGAAGTTCTGATCTGAAGAACTTGTTTGCCCTACCTAATACGTTGTTGGCATAAGAAAGATCAAAAAAGTAGTTATGTTACCTTACCTTTTCTAGCTTTTGCAATTTTCCTGTTGATAAGAACTCATTTATTTTATCCGATATTTTCTGACCAACACCATCCAGTTTACGAGCTTCTTCACCAGATGTCAAGCGTGTGGAGTGTGAAGCTATCGCACTTGCTGCCTTTCGGTATGCATTGTACTTGTGAATATTTCGATTCACATTCTTTTCATAATTTGCTAGTTCTGCAACGCAAGAAAACAGAAAGAAATGTTGAAAATATTTAAAATATATAATTGTGATTAATGATGCAGCAAGAATGAAACTGCTACCCCTTGAGGTTACTATGTTGTGATAATACTCCCAACTCACCACTTAGAAAGTCACAAATATCATGATTCAAATTTCCAGAAGTTGCGGGATTTTTTCTCTTACTCATGATGATAAACACACCAAATGCTAAGTGGAACTCTCTGCCCTTCTCATAAAATAGTGTGCGAGGGACGAGGCTTGAGGCTGTCAACAAAGCAGAAGGCTGCTTGCTTAACCCCACCGCCAAACACATTCACTTTCGGATGGCTTGTTTCATATCGGTATTGGTATTGGTAGGCGCCTCCAAGCGCCGAGTGCACAGTGACTCCGGTGATTCAGGTTTATGTTTTCTTCAATCTGATGGTAGGTATGACAACTTTTCCATTGTATTTACTCCATCATAATAAGTTTTTAATTTTGTGACTTCCCAAAGTCTTCAATAAATGTCAAAATGTCAGTACTTTGTAACTTTTATTTCTTAAAAAAATGTTGATGGAATTAAACCCTTCTACAAATGAACAGATGAGTACAAGCATAGAATAACTAAAGCTGCTACAGGCAATTCTCCCAAACCTATAGCTCTCTTCCATTGTAAAAGTAGTGCTTGCTTTTGTACAACAGTTAACACAAATTTAAACAAGGCATAGCGGAACAGTTAAACGGTTTGTAGCCAGACTCTTCTGGACAAAAATAAATAATTGTAAATATGTCTTTGTCGGGATGAAGTTGACAAGCAAAATCAACAAGCATGAAATTTTTAAAAAATATCTAAAAAAAAAACACAATTAAAAATAACCAGAAAACGAGGCTAAGCACTCAAAGGGTGTATAGGGGCTTCCAGCACATTAGCTGTATCACATTGGTTCACCTACATGTTGACTACAACAGGCAAAAACAACATTTGTTTGCTACAAACTTCTAAGCCAGATGATGGGAACAGACACAAATACTTTGAAATACATTAACTGTAAAAGGAATCTCTGAAACTTTCTTTTTCAAAATAATAATCCAAGGTGACCTAAAAAAAAAAGATTTTAAAGCAGTGATAGTGGTTGATGTGAGAAGACATGGAATCCAACCATCTGTTCCAACCAACGGGACCTCAACTAGGCCTTTAAAAAGCAACTAGGAATATTTTACTCTCTTTTTACCACTCATTCAATATTGAACTCAGTACACATGGGTTTCCATTATAACAAGAGAACATACAGCATCAACAACAATCATGCATAAAATTTAAAATGCAAATATAGTATCAAATTTCAGTGCTAATTTATCCAAATTTGTTTATGACCTAGGTCCTCAATTTTCACAACTGATATAAACAGTTCTATTCACGATAGCAGGACACAGCTAGCTAATATTTAGCTAACCACAGTCTAAGTTGACACAGCTTTTCATCCTAATTTGATTCATGAGATTTGCACATCACATTAACATTATTGTATCATTGGAAGTGGCTTATAATTTAACAAATATAAATAAACTTGGGTTTCCTAATGGTACGTACATGTCCTTATGGAAGGGGATTCTTAAAGATATAAACATTGAGGTATTTAACTGTACTTTGATAAAATCCATGTGAAATCTAATGGATGCAGAAATTTAAAAAAGGTGTAAGAGGCTAAATGCAAATAACTGAATGGAAGTACAATAACAGACTCAAAAATCAATACCATTTCACCCTCGACACAAATCATCTGTGGAAGCACGTCACCAAAAATTTGTGGTCTGAAAAAGGTATTGACCAGGCCTGGTACATAAACACAAATAAGGGAGACATCAACACATTCGTAACAGTAGTCTCACCTTGGATTTCAATACAAAAAACAGAGCAGCTCCTGCAGCAGGGACAATAAATGGACAAGATGGGAGTTCAACATGAAAAATTTCATAAATACACATTTGGAAGGGAATCAGATTTCTTTGTTTAAAACCCGGTCATAAAAGCTGCTACAGAAGAATCAGAACCCAGGAAAAAGAATCTGGCGCAAAGCATTACACAAACAGCTTGTGCCTATAAATCTAGCAACATGTACACATACAGAACCACCAGTGTCAGAGACACATTGAACTCAAGAAAAGTCAATGTAAAACTGACAAAAGCTCAAATTGATTTTTTTGCTAGGATGGAGTAAACCTCAATATTTAAGCCAAGGGTGTTCAAGGCATTGAGCAGCAGTAGCCCTTCTGGCAGGATCAAATTCAAGCATAGGTTTGAGAAAGTTCTCAAACTCTGCTGCATCATCATGAGACCAGTTGTACTTTTCTGTCAAAACCTCATATAAGCCCCATGGCTTCAACCCTGTGATACGTTTCAACTCCCCTGTTTTCTTGAAAAAATGTCGGAAGTTTTTGCCTGATTGGATAATTCTCTTTGGAATATCTCCAAGGAGCTCGATGATATGGGCAAGGTGATCCTCGTCTCTTGAATAGTCCTCCCCAGAATGAGGTTCGAAGAGGTAGTCTCCAGTTGCTAATTCAAACGCCATGCATGCTACACTCCAAATGTCAGCAGATGTAGAATAGCCTGCACCTAACAGAACCTAGGAAACAAAAAACAAGCAAATTAGAAACAGCCGAAGGAACATTAGAACTTGTGATTTTAAACATTTGGCTTACCTCCAGAGATCGATACTGCCTAGTTTGAATATCCTCTGTAAAATGTTTTGAAACCCAACAAGCATTTCCTAGATCAGCAATTTTCACATTTAGCTCCAAAACATCTTTTGATGGGTCAGGTTCCTCTTTTCCCTTGCACTTTTTCTTAGAATCAGTTGCTTGGGTCTCATCCTCTCTAGCCTCATCCCAGTTAGTGTAGTTAGCTGCTTCATCAGGGACTTCTTCTGGTGGAAGTTCTTCATCAGGAGATGTCTTGACAGATTCGGTTTCTTCTTTAAGTTCAGGAGTTCGGTTTCCATCACCTTCAGGGGGAGCAGGCACAGGTATAGGACTTGTGCACATTGGCTCACACACGTCTCCATCGCCTTCACCCAAAAGTGCCTCAGTGGGAGTAGATGCTCCAGATACAGACATTTCCTGGGTCTGATGGGCTACTTCTTCTACAGCAACATCCAAATCCATTTCACCCTCTCCACCACCAAAACTCCTGGCCCCCGTTCCTTCAGTCTCTTCGTTCCTGCCACAGCCATTGATCAACTTCCGACAAGCTTCCTGTTCCTCCTTTTTGTCAGTGGAGGCAGTATTGTCGCTAGGAGTAGATTCACTAGGGGTAGTTGTTTCATCAGAGGCATTTTTAGAGAGGTCTTTATTCCTGTCAGTCTCCTCAATCTGTTGCATCTGCAATTGCAGAAGAGCATTTTGCTTCTTTGCTTTCTTCTTCAGCCTTTTCTTCTTATTTTTTGACATTCTTGCATTCGCACCCTGAAATTAAAAAGAAAGAAAGAGAATTAGCAAATTGCAATAATTGAACTAATTTCCAGACACACAATATCCCCAACAAGACAATAGAGCACCATGCTTGGTTTGCCCAGAGATTAGTAAAGTGCATGGCGCACACTGAGTAACTCTAAAATATAAGTAGTTTACCAGTTGCCATGCATTTTGTAACTGATTGTGAACCAAAGAATGCCTGCCTTTGACATGTGAGACGTGCAGTGACTAGAATTAGACAAATGAAGAGGAGAGATGGTCAACAAAAGAATAACCTAAATTCTGTCATAAAATTTTTGAACAGTTCTTCAGAAACAAGCAGTGCTAGAGAGAGACTATTTTCAAGTGAGAAGCTCATACAACAAGCCAACCAACATTCTACACACTGAAAAAGAAAGTGCTATGTGCAAACGATTGAAATTATGAAGATGCATATCTAAGAAAAGAGTAGTTTTAAAAAATTTGAAAATAAACCTGCAGACCATTTACATAAGTCAAGAGAAAGACATACACTAGGTTTAAAGTATGACTCCGACTCCTACCAAACAAGCAAGCACCCAGACGAAGTCAAACAGACAAATTCACTCCACACAGCCCAAAGGTACCAATAAGGTCACCAAACCCAGAATTATGGGGACACTTAGAAAACAGAGAAGAGAAATAACCCAATGAAAGTAGAAAACAAAGGCCCAAGTTGAAAACATAATCAAGATTTAACCTTCGAAAATTAGTTTCAGGAAGTAAACTGCAAAATTTGTGAGAGGAGACACATAAACATTTAAAAAGATAAGAGGTGTCTGTACCTTCCTCTTTCCAGAGGAGCTGAGATGGTCATTCCCACGCTACTTGTCAATTCAGCCCCAGCAATATGAAAAAACAAGAAACCAACCCTTGAGACAAGAAATAAAAAAACAGAAATTTAACTGTCTTAATCATAATTAATAATTTGAAATTTGTAAATTTGTCAAGTGCTTGCTCAAAGAAAATATATGACTGCAAGACAAAAAAAAATTGACCGGCATAAGATATAAAATACTTGTTAGTAAAAGGCAAAGAGAATTAACAATAAGCAATGTCTAGACGAACATTGTTCATAGCTTGGACTCTGGACACCTCGGATTTAAGAACCAAGCTTTTCATGCTCGGACTCTATGCTCGGATGTAAGCTTTAAGTATGACAAATATTAACTATTAGTTAGTTAGAAAGAAAGGAAACTATGATGAGGAAAAGGGCACCTTCACCACATGGATACAAACCCAGAAATTTAATAAAAAAAGGAACGTCATTATTTTTAGTCCAGACAGGCAGATTAGTGTCTGCAACTGGGAACTTAATAAGAAAATGTGCATTTGTAATTTCCCACAAATTCATACTTTGACACAGTCTGAGTCTTCAAAATGCTATTGATAAGCTTGTTCTTATTCTGTCCACATCAAACTGAGAGTTTGACAGAAGTTTTATGACTAATTACACAGAAGTAAACTCCTCGCTGTGTATGATTATCAAAAGCTTAATTGCACTGAAACATGTACAAAAAATTCTAATTATAGTTTTCTTTAAAGACTTTTGCTGTACATATTTCATGTTCATAAATGTACATATACACACATGCATATGTGCATATTTCAAACGCAGAAAAACTGCAGTAAAGAAAAAAAATCCAGCAGGAAATCTGTGTTACTACAATTTCATTCAGAATGCTAACTTGATTAGCCCAACTAAGTTAATGATGGGTGCTAGTTGTTAATGAATTGTCAATGTGATTTTCTAGTACCTAAACCATGCAGTGCTCTTCCAAAAGATGTACTAAATCTTTTGGAGTCGAAAATTGCAAGTGAAAGCATAAAAAACAAGGCAAGTGAAACAAGGCACCAGTACGATAAATACAATTACCTGGACCTCCTTGGGTGCTGTGCTGACTAAAGACGTAGGCAATTTCATTCCCATTGAATGCATAACTGTGGCTTCTGAAGCAAGCTTGCGTATGTATGCTTCGTCAACAGATATTAAAACATTCTCAGGTTTAATGTCTGTGTGGATGATCTTGCACTTGGTATGCAAGTAGTCGAGACCTTCTAAAACTTGCCGGATAATGCACTTAACATTCTGCTTGGGGATACCTCGGTAGTTGCTCTTGATGATAAGTTTCAGCAGGTTGTGCCCCAGCACTTCAAACACCATGCAAACATGAGTACCATTCACTCCGGTGAACTTGAAGTCATTTAGGAGTTGGACAAGCTTGTTCCGTTTCGGGTCGCTGACGTCTGAATCTCGGACGGCCTTCAGGAGCTTAATTTCATCTAAAGCAGTCTCTGTGAAGTGAGCCGCACTCTTGACGAGCTTTAGGGCCACGAACCTCTTATCCTGCATGTCCCAGCAAAGCCAGACAGTTGAAAAGTGCCCCCAACCTAACTTTCTGGTGACATGGTACCTATTACTAAAGAAGTCGCCTATCTTGACCGGGTGATAGCCACCCTTGCAGTAGTCGGACGAGTCTTCCTGCTCCTCCTCCACAGACAGATACTCATCCTCTTCGTCCTCGTTCGTCTCGTTCGAAGACGAATTGCTGGCGTTTTCGTACTTGGTGGGATTCGGTTTCAGGTCCTTGGGCTCGGGCTCCTCCACTTTGCCCTTCTTCTTCACATTTTTATGGCGCTTCTTCTTGGCTTTGATGGCGAAGATCCGTCGGTTCATGTCTGTATTCATGATGAGCCCGTTACAGAAGACTCACTGTCACAAATTCCAGGCGAGCAAGTTTTCAATTTTCAGAAGACTATCGTTGTTTAGGCATGGCGGCGAGCAAAGACCTACAACAAAGCTGACCCAAACCGTGATGATGCCCAGGCCAGCCAACCCTAGCCAACCCCAACCCGTTGCCAGACGCGTAGTTCGCCTAGTCACCACCAGGGGCGCTCCAGTCGAGGCGCAGTCGCTGCCGCGCTGCCCCACTGCCAACAAGAGACGAGAACAAGAACACGACCTGCCGCCAAAATTTAAACCTTAGTGCGCGCCGCGCTGCTCCTTCGACAAATACGTAGCCAGAGCCGCGCGGGCGGCGGGCGTCACCCGTTCCCCCAGACGACCAGTGGACTCACAGACAAAGATGAACCGCCAAGTCGACAAGAACCCAGACGCCTCCGCAGAACCTGCTGTAAAACAGGTGTGGTCCTCCCTTGCTCAAAAACAACATAATACAGAAGAGCTCAGGTGATCAAACAGGAACCAGCAAAGCCCAAGGTTTTTTTTTTTTTGCGAAAATAGCAGTTTAAAAAGGCGGATACATTTCTTCCCGTTTCTTCCACTTTCTCGGCCTACAGAGATTCTGTTTTTGCCCCTCTCGTACTACCCTTGCTCAATCTCAGTTTTCAGATGCACACCAAAAAAGAGAAAAACAGAACCGCTGCGGACAGGATTCGAACCTGTGCGGGCAAAGCCCATTTGATTTCGAGTCAAACTCCTTAACCACTCGGACACCGCAGCTCGACGGCGGGGAGAGGCGCAGGGCGCCTCCACGTTCGAGGGGAACGACCGCGCCGCGCGCCGCGCTCCGTACTAAGCCGAGGCACCGCGTGGCCGAGGCGTGGCGCCGAGCTCCCACCGCGGAGGGCCTAGGCCAGGCAGCCGGGGCAGCCAGGCCCCGTTAGGCCGTTAGGTGTACTTTCCTTGTCTGCCTAGCAGTCTCTCCAGCTGGCAGTCGCGCACCGCAGCACTAGCAGCATTCCGTGCGTCGTTTTCGTCGCTCTGTCTCTCTCGCACTCACGGGGGCGTCCCGTGTAGGTGCGAGAGAGACAGAGCGACGAAAACGCCTATGTTGGAATCGGGCTGCAGCGGCGGCGCCGGCATCACGCCTCACGCCGCCTAGGCGCTCGAGGCGCTTGCACTCCAAATCTATTGGCGGTACAATCTGCAATTACCTTTCTATTGGCGGTAAAATCCGGACTCGGGCCCGCCGACGCTCCCTACAATACAAACCCTACGGAAAAGGCGGTGCTAAGTATTTCCGAAGGATTTTGTAGGTTTACAAAAAGTCGTAAATTTCAAAGAATTTTGGCAAATTACCCAAGAATCTTCGTGAATTGCCGAAGGCACCTTCGGCAACCTTTTTTTCCTTTCCAGATGTACCTTTTGGGAATTCCAGCGATGATGTATTTCTACAGTGTTACATTTTTGGGGGGTTCCTTTGTTTCCCACCCACTCAGCTCGCAACTCCCGATCCGCGACTACCATCCGCGACTCGCCGTGACGCCGTGACGTCATCGCCGCTTCGCCCGGCCGGGCCAGATAACGCGACCACTTGACCAACTTGACGGAGCGGGCCGCGGCCTCGGCCTCGGGCAATGGGACTTATCCCCTGGGACCTGGTCTACTCTACATCCTTGTCTACACCGCGGATGCACTCGGCACCCTCTGGAGAGTCCGCTTCCCCCAGCTTGCACGCGCAGTGGGCCAGAAGACCGGTGGAGGCGGCCGAAATTCCAGGCGCGTTTTGAGCTCCAGAGTCGCTGAGTGGGAGTCGAATCGAAAGGGTGACTATACCGAGGACACCCCCAGCCAGGACCCACGGCACGGCCCGAGAGGGGGAGGGGGGGATATGACTCCCCCCCCCCCAAAGTGGACCGAATTTTGATTTCCGACCCCAAGTGTCCTATAGCAACTTACTTGTCTGGGTGCCCGCTATACGCTCCCAAAGTTTTCCGGCACCTTTTGTTCCCAAAAACCCCCACCCGTACCACCGGACTCCCGTGAGACCCGAGAGATGCCCTTCCCCGGCCGGAATCAGCCCACCCCAGCTTGACGGACGCGCCGCCTGGGCCCGTCCCAGCTGGGATTTATCCCCTGGCCCTGGACTCTACACCTTCTACACGCGGATCATCGGACCCTCGGGGAGGGGAAAGCTTCCATTTGTATGCCAGTGGCCAGAAAGAGGGGGAGGTTTTGCCTAAATTTCCCAGGGGGTTTTATCCAGAGTCGCATGGGGGTTCGATCATCCTTATTGCCCCCCCCCCCTCCCTGGATCCGCGCCTGTCGACACCTCGGCGACGTCGCGGAAGAAATGGTGGCTAACGAGACGAGGCCGCCGATGACGAAATGGGCGAGACGGAGACCACCGCGAGACACTGCAGCAGACTGATTCCGAGAGTCGTTTTCGTCGCTCTGCCTCTCTCGCGCTCACGGGGCGGCCCGTACAGGCGCGAGGGAGACGGGGCGACGAAAAGGACTCTCGGAATCAGTCTGCTGCAGTGTCTCGGAGCAAGAACAAGCAGTGCCTCATTTGCGTCGGGAGCGGAGCGGGCGGCGGCTTCGCATTAACTAAATGAAACATGCGCCTTCTTGCCTGCACTGCATCGCCTTCTTCTGCAGCGAATTGGAAGGCGGAGAGTGGGAGCGGCCTGGTCGTCGCGCGTCCAGCTCTGTGTCCAGGACGAGGTCGAGGGGACCCACTGTAAAATTTTGTCCAAAATGATGGTGTGAATGTGCAAAAATGTGCAAGATTTATGGTGTTTATGCCACACATGTTGCCTACTTACAGGCGTTTTTGCCACCTGAATGTGGAATGTGGTCAAATTTTGTACAATGAATGTGGGAAGCTGTTCCCTCCCCCCTCGGACGAGGTCCACTGCGAGTTGCAGAGTTCCAATGCCCCGCACAGTTGGGCCTAAGGGGTGGCCCCGCGGGGTGGCCCACTGTTAAATTTTCTGGAAAATTATGGTGCGAATGTGTAAGAATGTGCCAGATTTTTTGCGGTTTTTTCACCCGTGGTCTTCCTACGGTCGTTTTCGCCATTTGAATGTCGAAGGTAGTCAAATTGCGTACAATGATAATGGGGAAGCTATTCCCCCTGGGCCTCCAAAAAGACCAGCTTCGGCGGCGGACGCAACTCTGGTCACGCTCCCTCACGCTTTGGAGCCTTATTTTATGTTCCTCAAAGCACTCAAAGGAGAGGGGACTACAATCAATGACAATCCAACTCGTGACCGGTGACACTAAGAGGATGGCTTTTCGTGGCGGGGAATCTCTCTGTACTCGTGCGTTTGATTCGAGCCTTATCGAAAAACGAGCAACGCGTTGGAAAACGTGTTCAGCAGAGTGGGTCCACTAAACAGGTCTCCGGTCGACGGCCGGCCGCGGCCGCGTGCGCGCAGGGGACTGATTCCAAGAGTCGTTTTCGTCGCTCTGTCTCTCTCGCACCCACACGGGAAGCGAGAGAGACAGAGCGACGGAAACGACTCCCAGTCTGCAGGACGTTGTTTTGACGGGGAGGGCGAGGCGGTGTGAGGTGACCCGGTTTTGCACTCGCAGCGCCGCAGCGCCCTCGCGGCACTGCACTGCGAAACGTGGCTCAGCGCGGCTCGGCTGACATCACACGGCAAACAGACCTAAAAGCCAAAGCGTCACGGATGGCAAACAGGCGCACGCCCCGCCACGCCCCGCCCCGGCGCAAAGACCGTGGAGGTGCAAAGACCTAGTTGCGTCCCGGCCACGCCCAGAGGGGTGGGTCGGCCCCGCGCCTAGGCCCGTGCCCCGCGGCGCCACCAGGACGACGATGACGACGACGATGACGACGAGTACCGACGCCAGTCGCCAGGCAGCGGCAGCACGCGAACGGGGAATGGTTTACGCGTACGTATTTCATACTCGGCATTGCTACCCAACAACAACAACAACAACGATGACAACAATCCTCAGCAGAACCAGCAGCGCTGACCAGAGGCTTAAGGACCCAGCCACCGCCCACCTTGGGGGAATTCCATACAGGACAAGCTCAATGACTTGTTTGCCTGTCCGTATTTCCACTTGCCACCTCGTTCGTGTACAGTCTCGGTAGAAAGCAACAGGTCATCGAGCCCGAGGCCGAGGCCCTTGAAAAGGCAGAGAGCACCTCGAGATCCACTATCCGCTTGCAGCGACACGAGTCGTCTTCGTCGCGCTGTCTCTCTCGCACCTGTACGGGACGCCCCACGAGTGCGAGAGAGACAGAGCGACGCTCTCGGAATCAGTCTGCTGCAGCTGCAGGTGAAGGACCTCGAGCTTTACGAGTCACAAAAAGGAGGAGCATATCGGGCATTATGGGGTGGGAGCAGGCTAGATAGATAGAGAGGGGGGGGGGCGATAGAGAAGGATCGTTGGCCGTCAGCAGGTCGGGATAGAGAGACACGAAGCCGAATACTGTGGAGGGAGAGCCGTGACGAGTGTGGTACTCAGCTGACTGACTGGTTCCGAACAGTCGTTAGAGAGAGAGAGAGAGAGAGAGAGAGAGAGAGAGAGAGAGAGAGAGAGAGAGAGAGAGAGAGTCCTTTGCCGTTCTGCGGCGTGACGTCGCGGCCGGCGGCGAGACAAGGACAAGGCGGCGGGGCAGGGCGCCAAAGACGCCGCCGGCGACCGCGACACTGTCGGCGTCAGCCTGGCGTCAGCGGGAGGTTCAAGGATTCCGCGAAGCAGCTCTCTCAGCTGAGCGGGAGATTGGGTGTGCACGCGCATGAGCGTGTGTGCGTGAGCGTGCTTGTGTGAGTGCGCCTGCGTGTAGTGAGTGACGAGTGAGCGTAGGTAGGTGTGTGTGAGTGTGTGTTGTCACTTCCCCTGCACTGGGAACACAGGAATGTGACGTCACCTTCGTTACAACGTGAAGAGGCGGCGTGGAGGCGCGGCCGGCCGAGTCGCATTGAAATGAAACGAATGTGCGACATTTACTTCACTCGATCGAACAACAACGCGGCACGATGCGACGTCACGTTCCTGAGTTTCCAGGGGAGCCGTGATATTCGACCGTGATGTGCCATGTCTAAGTTTAAGGTTTCCTTAAGGAGTTCTTGCCAGGAAGTATATGAGAGAGAGAGGGAGGAGAGGGAGGGAGAGGCCCGTATCTCCCTTTCAACTCGCTCGTAAAACGTTCCAAAATTTCAGAGGGAGCCCTGGTGACAGTACCCAAGTCCAGGGCACAGTGCAGGGCCTGGTCCACCTGGTCTGGCGTAGTCTGGCGGTGCAAGCAGAGGACGCGGCGCATCGCGGTGCATCGGGCCGGTTGTGCAGATTTCACGGCAAGTAGGCTGGTGCGGGGAAGGGAAGGGAAGGGCCGCAGGGAGAGGGGCGCAGAGGGGCCGAGGGGGCGGCTAAAGAATGCGGGAGGAATGCAGCGAGAGCGAGAGAGAGGGAGAGAAAACAGGCTGCCTGCCAGCTTGCCTGCCAGCTTGCCTGTCTGCGCGCTGGCCCGGCCGTCGACAGGGCCGTCTCCGAGAGCGGCGTCGTCCCACCGTCCCTTCCACCCAGCGTCGCCAGCGTCGCCAGCGTCTGCAAAGGGCGCGCTGAGGTTGGAGCGCTTCGAACGTGACCCAGGCGGCAAGGCGCGCTGGCAGGCGGCACGCTGGCGGGGCTGGCGGGGCTGGCAGGCAGCGCGATGCGCAGCGGGGGGTAGAGGCGAGAAGGGCCAGAAGCGGGACACTTGAACAGCCAACCACAAACCCCGTGCGGGGCCCTGCACTGTGGTAGCCAGCCCGCCCCGGACGACCGGACGCGTCTGCTGGAAGGACGAAGCAAAAGGGCGCTGGTTTCCAAGGGTTTTGGGGGTTCGCGAGCCGAGCCGCGCGGCGGAAAGGTTCGGTGTTGGCGGCGGCAGGTTGGCAGCACGCTGTGCGCGCGGTGGGGTCGGTGGAGGGGGAAGAGAGACGCGGTGCGGCGCGGGGAGGGGACGGGGGGAGGGGACGCCCAGCGCCCAGCAGCAGCAGCCAGCCGCCAAGCCAGTCTCATCGCTCGCTCCTTCGCGGTAGGAGTGCCGCTGCCCGCTCCGTTTTCAAGTTACGAAGCGTCGCGGCTTCGAACACCGCTGGTGCTCTGTGCTGTGTTTCCGACGAATTTCTTGGTGTCTGCCGACGGCGCCCGTCGTGAGCAACGCCCCTGCTTGTGCTGTGATTGGTCGAGGCACCGCAGCGCGCCTTGCGTCCTCCGGTCCAAACGCCCCGCCGACAGTGTCGTGTCACTCGCGCCGTCCGGACCCGGGCCAAGCCGTGGACGCCGTGGACGCGGTGCCGTTCCAAAGCGGCGACAGCGAGTAGAGGATTCGCGCGTCGACCACGTCACTGCCATCGCCTTGCAGTGAACTGGGTCACTGCCCCGCGACGCTCGCGACCCGCCGAGTGAGGACCACTGTGGACGCGGGCCGCGCTGTGGATTAACACCTGGATTACGACGGCCGCGACCCTCGCCAGGTGAGTGGAGTGCAGTGCAGTGCAGCGCCAAGCCTGGGCCGCCGTTTGTTGGTTCGGCGGCCGGGACGGAAGGGCTGAGGGCCGAGGGCTGGGAGGGAGGGGCGAGGGGGAGGACGCTGCGCGGACGGAGGCTGCGCGGCCCTACGCGGTCCAGCCCTCCACGGCGCCAAGCCCTCCCGATTTCAAACGCCGAGCCCTTCGCAGTGGCAGGGAAGCCCTTCAGAGCACGCTGCCGACAGCACAGGCAGACAGATTCCGAGAGTCGTTTTCGTCGCTCTGTCTCTCGCACTTACACGGGCCGCACCATGAGTGCGAGAGAGACAGCGATGTGTGTGTGTGGGGGGGGGGGGAATCAGCTGTCTGATGTTCGCCAAGTTCCCCCGTTCCTTCCGATGGTGACATGGCAACTCGGTTGTCCCGCCTCGACTCTCTGCTGGAGTGTCTGTGCGATGCAGTACCAGGGACGAATTCAGAGATGAAGTCAAGTGGACAGATGTAGCAAAAGTTGCCGACGTGTAACTTGCGACTCGCGCTCGCACTTCGCAGACAGCTCGACCCCATCCCTCCGGACCCTCGCTCTTGCAGCGCGGTGCAGTGCCCAAGGCGAAAGAAGTATGGACCGGGAGTTCTCGCCACTGCGCAGGCTCTTTAGCCAGGGTGGCTTTAGCCTCTTCTTGGCCACTTCTCTGACAACGCCGCGCGTTGGTCGGCTCGTGCACGCTGGAGGAGGACGAAGGACACCCAGCAGTAAAGCCTCTGGAGCCGGTGAAGCCCCTGAGGCGCTCTGGAGCTCGGAGATGCTTACGTCAGATTACGGGTCCGGCACGACAACCAATGCCTGCGCACTTCCAGTCTTCCAGAGAGAGAAAGGAAGAGGTGCAGCGTGGCGCTCTCCCGTCGCGGTTTTATCCTTTTATTTGCTTGCCGTTTTTATTCTGTAAGCCCTTCCTTCCCTCCGTCACGACTGCCCGTGCACCTCTACAGCACTTCTTGCACCTCTCCAAGCACCTCTCCAAGCACCTCTCCGAGTACCTCTCCAAGTACCTCTCCAAGCACCTCTCCAAGTACCTCTCCAAGTACCTCTCCAAGTACCTCTCCAAGTACCTCTCCAAGTACCTCTCCAAGTACCTCTCCAAAATTTGCCTCTTTCCCAAACACCCTCTTTTCCTTCCAAACACCCCCCTGCAGCACCTCTCCAAGCACCTCTCCAGCACGTCCAGCCGCCGGGGAAACTCGACGAACGGAGGTCACAATTAACGTGAACGCTCCCCCCCCCCTTTCCCCCGCCCCGGAAGTTGCCGATCCACTGTGATTGAACGTCGGCAAGGTGCATTATAATGGAGGCGGAGAAGAGCAGCACCTCTGCGGTGCGGGCAGACGAGACAGCCCCCCCCCTTCCCCCTCCCCAAGGATCACAGGATGCACGCTCGGCCTGTTGCTGGGAATGCCGGCCCGCTGTGTGGCTTCCATCGTGTCCAGGCCGCCGAACATGACTGCGAAACGTCTTCACTGTCGCCGTACTCAGTTGTCTTCACGTGAAGGGCGTATGTACGCTCTGGCACACCTGCGACTGACGTCCCACAGTGGGCCAGAAGACCGGTGGAGGCGGAATGAATTTTAGACGCGTTTTGAGCTCCAGCGTCGCTAAACAGGAGCCGAACTGAACGCGTGCCCCACCTATGGGTTGCTCGATTCGAAAGCAATGCATTGGTGGGGCCACACGTTCGATTCGAGTCCCGTTTAGCGTAGCGACTCTGGAGCTCGAAACCCGTCCGGAATTTTGTTCGCCTCCACCGGTTTCTGGCCCACTGTGCGGCCCTCGACGTCCTTGGCATCCTTGCAGTGCACGGGCCACGCACCCTCGTCTTTTCATAGCGCCGCTCAATCGAATCAAACGGAGAGCAATCTTGCCGGTGGGGAGCTGAAGCCAGCTGAAGCCAGCTGAAGCCAGCTGAAGCCAGCTGAAGCCAGCTGAAGCCAGCTGAAGCCAGCTGAAGCCAGCTGAAGCCGGCTGAAGCCAGCTGAAGCCGGCTGAAGCCAGCTGAAGCCAGCTGAAGCCAGCTGAAGCCAGCTGAAGCCAGCTGAAGCCAGCTGAAGCCAGCTGAAGCCAGCTGAAGCCAGCTGAAGCCTGCTGAAGCCTGCTGAAGCCTGCTGGAGCCAGCTGGAGCCGGCTGAAGCCGACTAACAAGATGATGACGAGGACCCAGGGTCGCGAGACGAGGTCCGCCTGGGCCCGCCGCCCCGGTGTCGAGAGGCTGGGTCATCAAGGAGGCCTGCAGTCAGAGTCGTTTTTGTCTCTGTTTCTCTCGCACCTGTACGTGACGCCCTGTGAGACAGACAGACGGAGTGGGTCTGCTGGGCCCCCTCAAGTGGCCGACGAGGTGTGCGGTAATGGCGTAGTCCTCGTCTCGTCCTCGTCGCGGACCTCCCCGTCGCCGCCTCCCTTTGCCGCGGAGTGTTTGTCGGTTTGTTGTGCCGCGGAGCCGCGACGCCGCGACGGGGCTGAGTCACGGCCGTGCCATTTGAGGAGCACGCCGAGCCGAGCCGAGCCGGACACACACACGTGCACTTCTTGCCTGTTTGCCGATCGAGCCTCCAGTGTCAATTGGAGCCGACGCCGCGTGTCCCCGCGCGGTCTTGTAAGCAGAGCTGCCGACAGAGAGCGCGGACATGCCGACATGCCGTGTCTCACTCCTTATCCGCGAATCCGTCCATGGGTCGCCGACGTGGACACCGGCAGACTGACTCGCTCTGTCTCTCTCGCACTCATGGCGCGTCCGAGAGACAGAGCGACGACAATGACTCTCGGAATCAGTGGGGGCCAGGAGGCCGCCCTCCTCGAAAGTCCACACCGATAGGTACCGATAGCGCTGGCAATGAACCCATTTCTTCATCAGGCGGGCCGGGTCTGGCTGGCCGGGTCTGGCGGGCCGGGTCGGTGGCGGCCACTACACTGTGTACCGGTAGGTACTCGGCTCGCGCGAAGGCACCCATTTGCAAACGGACAATGCCCACCAAGTCACGCGGCACACGTCGGCGCAAGGCGGACGCGAGACTTGCACCGACGGCGGGGAGCGTGGAGGAGGACCAGGGACGACTACACGAAGAAAAAAAAATAAAACTGTCTGTTGTTATCGACAGGCTACATGCGATAGCTGAAATCGAAAATCTGCTACTGCCTGGACAACCAAAAGCTATGGTTGCTTCGAGGACAATCGAACCCCAGCTTAGTTGTCGTTTACTCCCTTAGGCCTTAGAAAGAAATGAAGCCTGTCATAGCAAAGCTTGCAGAAGCTAAGAAAACCCTTCGTAATTGACGAGCCATTCAACGAAGTAAGGAGCCCTGCCTCGTGACCAATTTGGGGGAGGTAAAAGTCTAGGTTAGGTTATCAAGGTCCTATTGAGGGGAGAGGGTGTCAAAATAGTGGCCTCGGCCTCTCAATAGATTAATGCTCACCTTATGGGGTACTAGAAGGCGGAGGTCCCCTGGAGCACTTTCTTTCCCAGTGTGTCGCCTCATCCCGTTTGTTAGCGGCCCTCAACACGCGTCGTGGCCCAAACAAACCGCACACGGAGCTAAAACTGAAAGCGACACCACGCCGAAACGTGTTTTGCATGTGTCTTCGGAACGTGACGCATCGCGCACGCCGTCTGCGCCGCGGCCGCGGGGGTCGCGAGTCGTGCCGATAGCGTGCGGATAGCGCCACGATAGCGTGCGGATAGCGTCACCTTGCACAAGCCCAAACAGGTGGGGAAGGCCATGGCGGCGATAGCGTCTATCAGTGGACTGATTTCGTCGCTCTGTCTCTCTCGCACTCGCGTGGCGTCCCGCATGAGGTGCGAGAGAGACGGAGCGACGAAAACGACTCCCGCGGATCGGGCTGCATCACCGCCCTGTTGTGTGAGGCCACAACTTGAGTTCTTTTAACTTTCTCTGTATTTATATCTCAAGGTCACTCAGGGAAATGGATCGTCAGAAAATCACGACTTCACTCTCAAAATCCAATTCAAAATATTATTTTAATATCCAAGCGCAGAGATTTTACAGTCACTACCAAACGGACCCAATACAATAGATAACAAAGCAGCACGAGATGTTCTAAGTTCGGTATGGTCACTATTCTAATGGTCATTACAATCACAATTCACTACAGCACTCTCATACCTAAGCCTAAGACTCTGTTGTCCATGGTGGTGCAGAGCTGTCCTGGCTGTAGGCCTGCTGGAGCCCGACTGACTTAGCTACCCTAGGTGTATTTTTCTTAAATAGAAAATCTGATGTGGTGGTGGGGACAGCTCCCGTCCAATCAGAATCGAGCATAGCGCTATAGTAATAAATGTCACCCAAAGGGAAACATAAATCTCTGTACAAAATGAGAAAACCGTATGGCTGCTGCGTGCCCGCATGACCGAGGACCCGCAGAGTCCGGAAAATCATAAACTCTACCGGAAACGGAAAAAGGGACACCCGGTGGCGGCCCCACCCCATGGCCCCGTGCACCGCGGCTGTGCAAGCACAATCCGGGCGACCGTTGTGGCCATGGGCGTGCTTCACCGGAGGTGGAACGGAAACAGATATTTGAGCGGTCAACGCCCCCCAGAAATGCACACATTCCCAAGCACAGATGTTATGGTCCAATGCACCACAGACAGTGCACGCAAGCACTGCCCGGGTGTCCGCTCCGGTCGACCATGAGTCATACACACACACACACAGCTTCTCCCTTTCCTTATGATTAATTTAAAGGTAGTTGTGTGGTTCTACACAGAGCCACACAACATTCACCCTAACTTTGAAAAAAAAAAATTTTACAGACAGTTTTGAATTGGAAATTTTTTTTTTTTTTTGTACTGAGCTGGTGCATTAAACAATTCTCCGTTGAAGTCATACAGTATTTGGTGACATGTCCAGTCTTTTCTAAATGCTACTTTTATAAACAATATCTTTTGTAAAGTTAAAGTGGTTCTCCTTAAGTAGTGCAGTATTTGGTGACTTGCCCAGCTTTTTCTTAATGCTAATTAAAAAAAATGGATCTTTGGTAGCTATAAATATGAATATGCTCAAGATTACGAGATAAAATAAAAAAAAACTCTTGGTACAAGTTACAATAACAAGATTCAAATAAAAATACTCACAAGATTAAATTAATAAAAATACTCACAAGATAAAAATACTCTCGGTACAAGTTACAATAAAATACTCTTGGGTACAAGATTTAAGTAAAAATACTCTTTAAAATACTCTTTGGTTATTAGAATCTACTACTTGTCTACTACACTTAGTGCTCAAAACTAAATTATTAGAAAAGTTATCTACTACACTTAGTGCTCAAAACAAAATTATTAGAAAAGTCGTGTTGTGATGCTCTGTAACACCACAAGCATCACAACATTCACCCTTTCTCCGAAAAAAAAATTCCCATGCGCTTACAATTAAATGTTTACAGAGTAATTTAATTATTGGATTAATTTATGAAATCTGTAGTTCCTTGAGCGTACATTCAAGAAGTATTATCTTTTGAAAATTTAAAAAAAATTATTCTTCCAAATTACTCACGCCAAGTCCAGTTCAATCCGAAACCCGACGGCTAACCGTGGGTGACAGCACGTTGTTCACAGATCACTTTACCGACACTCATTTTTTTTTTTTTTTTTTTTTTATCACAGCTTGTTGCTCTTCTCCTCGGGATGTTGACACTGGGGTCAATGACTTGACCCAGTTTCCGGATGGAGTGGCCTTGACCCGGCCACCAGGACTCCCCTCCCTCTTTCGGGAAAATGGAGTCCCTTTGTGGGTGGCGAGGCACGCTGCGTGAAGTCGGTTGACACTTGTGTAGTCCTTTTGGCGGCTGGCCCCGAAAAATCAAGGTGGCTCAGCGCCGGACTCTCCGTACTGCCTCCCCGGCCACGCGCGTACAGGCTGCGGACCGACCGTCTCTGACGCTGTTCCTGGAACACATTTTATTTTTTCTGCAGTAAAAACTCTTTTTTTTTTTTTTTTTTTTGTAATTTTAATAGGACATTCGACGCTAGGGAAGTTCAGATTTCAATGGCAATGCAAATAAATTTTAAGTACAAAAAAATTATTTTCGAACACTGCTTAAATATGAGGTAAAAAAATCAAATACAAAAATTATTACTAACGTTTGTTACATTCTACACAGCACTATTTTGTAGCCTACCTTTATTCGAATATAATTTTGAAAATCAAAAGGCCAATCATCTCCTTCATATATCACAAGGTTAGGCTTTAATGTAGACAACAAATCTTGTATCAAGGTCCTGACAGTGCTTTCTTCGTCATAGTCCCACCACCATTCCTCGAGGTATACCGTCCGTACCGTGGTCTTCCATCGAAGAAGGTCTGGAATTGATGTAATATCCAGGCGGGCGGTGGTCCAATCTGGTGATAAAGAGATCTTGAGGCGGCTGTAAGTTCGCCTCAGCACCTGGCGAAAGGCATACTGCCCTGCCTCTCCCCTCAAGGCCTTTTCTTGGTCGTTGGTACTCAGCGCCGCGACGCTGAGGGTTTGAAGGGACTCCGGTCCGAACATGGTGTTGATGTAAAGTACGGAGCACGGAAGTCTTGGGCAGGAGAAAAAAAATGATGGCAACGAAGTGAACGCTTCGGTTGCTGTCACCAGACTGAGCTCCTGAAGTCTGTCCGGTGTGGGGGTGGTCCTTCCTAGGGCGTCATGTGGTACTCCAAAATGGCCGAAATGTAAATTTCGCTACTGAACAGCCTTGCCTGTTGGTGACAGTTGTTGGACCGAAACAAGTGTCACTCTCCCCACAGATAACAGTTCGTCTGTTGTTGCGCGGGTGGGTGCCACGACACGGGGGAGACACCCGGTGTGGCAATTCATAGGCGTCGTAAAACTCCCAGTTGGTGAGAGCGCGGACGAGAGCGCGGACGAGAGCGCGAAGGAAAGAAAGGTGCAGGGTGGGTGCATAGGGCGGCGCGTTTTTGACAGTGTCGATGGCTAGATAGTGTGGTGACAGTGCGGTGCGGCCGGTTAGCCCGGGCCACGCCGTGCGCTCAAATAGATGTCATTTTCCGTCTCCGTCGCACTCGCACAGAGCAAGCGAGACGGTCGAGGCGGGGCATGGAGGGGAAGCAGCGGCCGACTGGCGGAGCGAGTGGCCCGCCTATGCTCACTCTGGAGTCCGACACGTTCAATCCCCAAATTTAAAATTTGAACGTGACTTCTGATCTGTGGCGGTTGGTTACCAACAAATTCCTTATTCGTTTACGGTTATTTTGACACCAGTCGAACAATGATTTATAATCGTATATATAATTTATGTTAACAAAGCAAAATGGTGCATTAAAATTTTAGTCCTTTAACTCGCGTCTTAGTCTGAAGACAGTAATAATAACGTTAATTCCTTCAAACACTTCGATGAGAATACGTCTAACTATAGGCCATTTTAATCCGTCTTTCCCACAACCTAGTCTGGGAATGGCTAGTCGTTCAATTCCCAGCAACTCTACCCACCGTGCTAACTCAACGAGAGATGCTTTTAAGGAGTCGTAAGAAGGTTTCAAGAAATATCGCTCCTTTGTTACCAAGTAGAACACGTGTCTATCATTTGTCGTGAGACGAGCTGTAGTTCCCACAGACCATCCACCTGATGACAGCTTTTCCTGATTACCAAACGTTGACTTGAATTTTACTGCGATGCCTGCATTCATGTGGAAATCTCTACTGACACAGTGCGCGAGGTTGTCGCGTGATGTGAATAGATCACCGGTAGCTCTAATTAGCTTCATTGTTCGACAAAAATTTTAATATTTACCCAAGTACTGTGACTGCGGCACTAAATTGGAAGTTTAGCAACACTGTGACTTTTTCCACAATGAGTGACTGACCTCCTATTGCGGCGATAGGAACTGGTAAATCCCTACTCTAATCCATATGCAAAACTTCCCTTTATTCAATATCTAGAACAAAAAGAAAATATGTTACTCAAAACAGAACTTAAACATAAACAGTATACACTAAGCAATTGTCCCTAAAAAAAAAATATAAAAAAAAATGATATTAGTAATGTTTCATTTTCAGAGAATGAAATTCTTCCAATACTTATAGTAAGGTTCACAAGCGTTAAAACTCTACATTTTATCAACTGAAGGTTATCTGTGCAAGTTCTTGGGAGTTGGTACGGCTGTATCCATGGTTCGTTTCTCTTTCTCGATATCTATCTTCATTTCATCCCATTTTTTCACTGAATTTCCGGAAATTCATTCTTAAGTTACTGGTGCTGTATCATCTCATTTTTAATTTATTCTATTCATTCCTTTTTATCACATCTCTGTATCTGTGTTACTGCATGCTTCATTATTACTCGGCCGTTTTATTTTCTGCAAGGGCACAGCCCTTCATTTTTATCTTTCTTTCTCAGTTTCTTGTTCAAATCATTTAGTTCAATAATAAGTTCAAATCATTCATCTGAATTACAAGTTCCTTCTTGAAATCTTTTTCAAATCATTTATATCAATTACAAGTTTAATTCATTTAGTTCAATAATAAGTTCAAATCATTCATCTTGAACATAAGTTCCTTCTTTAAACCTTCCCTTTTTTCATAACCTGGCTTCCAACTCTCTTGTTCCGAAGCCTCCTTTCAAATCTGTAGGCGTCCCCACAGTGTCAGAAAAAAAATTCAGAAAACAGGTCATGATGTGCACATAAGGGTTCCTCAGTCCTTAGACTGATAACATATGTATACATACTGTATATCCTACCGTCTGGCGGAGTACTACAATCAAATAACGCAATCAATTATCCTTTACTGGCAGAGCACCAAAATTATTTATCAACCTCATTTACTGGCAGAGCACCAAAATTATTAACCTCATTTACTGGCAGAGCACCAAAATTATTAACTTTTAACTTCATTTACTGGCAGAGCACCAATTCAATTATCTTTAACCTCATTTACTGGCAGAGCACCAATTCAATTATCTTTAACCTCATTTACTGGCAGAGCACCAAAATTATTAATCTCATTTACTGGCAGAGCACCAAGATTATTAACTTTTAACTTCATTTACTGGCAGAGCACCAATTCAATTATCTTTTAACCTCATTTACTGGCAGAGCACCAATTCAACTATCTTTAACTATATGCCTTCCCTACTTGAACCGCTTTAGATTTATTTATCTCTCTGTTCTACTTGTTTCGTGGACAGTTTCTATAGATTAATTTTATTACCATTATGATTATCATTATCACTAATATTACTACCATTATCATGACCGTTATTAACCTCCCTCACGATTCCACTCTGAGAACTGACAGGGGGAATACCACATGACTACTGTGGCCATGTACACCCCTTGTCCGATTGGTCAATAGCTTCCATTGACACAGCAAGAGTAAGAGCGGTCTGATAGTCCTCTGGTTTTGTCACCATTACAGTTTTACGAAGGCTTCCCTTTAGGCCAAATAGAAATCTAGTCAACAGTAATTTGTTGTAGAATTCTCGATTGAAGAGGTCGTTATTAGTATCTGCTTGGTATGCCTTTTGGCAAAGAGATGCTACACGCTGGCCAAACTCCCTTACACTTTCATTAGGTTTCTGAACAGTGCCATAAAATTTTTGCATCAACGTTACATGTGACTCGTCAATCTGAAATCGGGACAAGAATGTTTCTTTAAAGCCTTCCCATGTTTTCATCTTAGAAGACTCTCCAAAGCTTTTAATATATTCGCGGGCAGTACCGCGCAGCCGTGAAATGGCTATTTGAATGCTCTGAGTTTCATTCCAGTTCCCCAAAGTTTTTAAATACTCAAGATTCTCGATATATTCCCTTGCTGAAAGCTCATCTGAGCCGTTGCCAAAGAATTTTTCCACTGAATTATATAGGGATCCGATGGATACTGGAGCTGATGGAGGTGGAGGTGTTTCAGCCATTTTAAGACTTTCGAACAAATCCCAGTGAAGTACAAAAGGTATATCTGTTAGTTCCTGGATAAACTTCTACACACTCGTATAAAAAGATGGATAGTGTGATTATAGTGATCAAACACACAAAAATGGAAACTGATAGAAACACTAAGAAATAACTCGGTTGTTGGTTCTCAAGCCCAATAGCTTCTACTGTATCTAAGTCATTAAAAGGCATCTGATGGGTAACTAGACTTTCTAAACTGAGAGTTAACTTAGTTGTCACCGTTAGGTATCCGTTAACTCAACCTTGGCTTCGTTGGCACCGTTAGGTATCCACCAAGTCCTATCTTGGCTTCGTTGGCACCGTTAGGTATCCACCAAGTCTATCCAGATTACCCATAGAACCCTATTCGAACACAATAGTAAAGCTATCAGTTTTCCAAGAAAAATATATTAGAAACATACCAATTAAGAAATACCATTAAGCAAAAAGAAATACAAATAATTGCAAGTGTGCTGTTACTTTTCGGAACTGTTCCAGATACATCCATTGATTCACTTCCTATCACAACCTACCTGATTCTCCATTTCCTGACAACCTGAGATATCTCATCCTCGTCGCCATTTTATGTTGTGTGAGGCCACAACTTGAGTTCTTTTAACTTTCTCTGTATTTATATCTCAAGGTCACTCAGGGAAATGGATCGTCAGAAAATCACGACTTCACTCTCAAAATCCAATTCAAAATATTATTTTAATATCCAAGCGCAGAGATTTTACAGTCACTACCAAACGGACCCAATACAATAGATAACAAAGCAGCACGAGATGTTCTAAGTTCGGTATGGTCACTATTCTAATGGTCATTACAATCACAATTCACTACAGCACTCTCATACCTAAGCCTAAGACTCTGTTGTCCATGGTGGTGCAGAGCTGTCCTGGCTGTAGGCCTGCTGGAGCCCGACTGACTTAGCTACCCTAGGTGTATTTTTCTTAAATAGAAAATCTGATGTGGTGGTGGGGACAGCTCCCGTCCAATCAGAATCGAGCATAGCGCTATAGTAATAAATGTCACCCAAAGGGAAACATAAATCTCTGTACAAAATGAGAAAACCGTATGGCTGCTGCGTGCCCGCATGACCGAGGACCCGCAGAGTCCGGAAAATCATAAACTCTACCGGAAACGGAAAAAGGGACACCCGGTGGCGGCCCCACCCCATGGCCCCGTGCACCGCGGCTGTGCAAGCACAATCCGGGCGACCGTTGTGGCCATGGGCGTGCTTCACCGGAGGTGGAACGGAAACAGATATTTGAGCGGTCAACGCCCCCCAGAAATGCACACATTCCCAAGCACAGATGTTATGGTCCAATGCACCACAGACAGTGCACGCAAGCACTGCCCGGGTGTCCGCTCCGGTCGACCATGAGTCATACACACACACACACAGCTTCTCCCTTTCCTTATGATTAATTTAAAGGTAGTTGTGTGGTTCTACACAGAGCCACACAACAGCCCCTCCGGCTCCACAATCATTCACTGCATTCGCGGCATGCGTCGCTCGCACCGCCGTACCAGTGTACACGTCGTCGCGTTCCGGAAGCATCACGCAATCGAGCGCTCCAATTTGTTTATGTATCCGTCTAGCCGCCACGTCTGTCTGTCTGTCTGTCTGTCTGTCTGTCTGTCTGTCTGTCTGTCTGTCTGTCTGTCTGTCTGTCTGTCTGTCTGTCTGTCTGTCAGCGCATATGAGACTGTTAGTTAAGCTTTATTCGCTCCGTCTCTCTCATACACCCCATGAGTGCGAGAGAGACAGACTGTCCGGCATCCAGTTGCAGGCGAGCCAGGCTACTGCAAGCAGACTGAGTCCTTCGTCGCACTCATGGGACGTCCCGTAGGGTGCGAGAGAGACAGTTGCTCTGCAGCCCTGCCCTGCATAACGGATCGCGATTTCTCCCGCCTTTCTTTTCCATACCGCCACGCCGGTATCGGAAGCGGGCTTGCGCGGCGTTACGTCAGTGTTTGCCCGCCTTTGCCGCCTCGGCCCAAACACTGGTCGCGGCGCGCAGTGGGCCAAAGTTCTAGACGCGTTTTGAGCTCCAGAGTCGCTGAATGGGACTCGAACCGAACGTGTGACCCCACCAATGGATTGCTCTCCAAACGAGGAATCCGTTGGTGGGGTCACACGCTCGGTTCGAGTCCCGTTTAGCGACTCTGGAGCTCAAAACGCCCCTCCGGCCTTCTGGCCCACTGTGCGGCGTGGGCGGAGCGAGGCGGAGCGCGGAGCCAAGGCGTCACGCCGCCGGGGGCGCAATGTGGCAGAAAAAGGGGCGGGGGGATTGTATCACGGTGTGTGAAAAGCCTGCCCATTGCTGGAGGGGCTTGTGAGAAACGTTGCCTACCTTCAGGGGCCTCGCGGCTAAATTCCAGTTATGTTTTTGTAGGGGTTATGAAACTTTGTCTTGTCGGTGAAATTTCGAAGATGGCATCGTTTTTGTTCTCTCGTTTGTTTGTTTTTATTTTTTCTAGTCCTTTCTCTATCTTTGGACCACACATCATCTTGTTCGCCTGACACCGAAACGGCAAAAACGGTCTGTTGGTGCGGCCTGGCGTGGCGTGGCCTGGCGTGGCGTGGCCTGGCGTGGCCTGGCGTGGCGTGGCCTGGCGTGGCCTGGCGTGGCGTGGCGTGGCGTGGCGTGGCGTGGCGTGGCCTGGCGTGGCCAGCCTCATCATCTGGATAGAGGGGCCGCGGCGTTCGGCGCGCTTGGAGTGGGGCCGAGGCCGTCCCGTGCCGCGCCGTCGCGTCCGCGCATCGCACGATAGCGCCCTAACGGTGCCGGGCCGCGCGCTGGCACCATGGCTGGCACGGGGGCCGCCGCCTCCAGCCGCCTCTGGCCTGCACACTGACAGCTCTGTCTCTCTCGCACCTATACGGGACGCCTCATGAGTGCGAGAGAGACAGAGCGACGAAAACGGCTCTCGGAATCAGCCTGCTGGTCCGCCGCGCGTGGACGCCCCCGCCTCCTTCCTCGCCGCCTATGGTCCCCTCTCCTTCAATTGTTCGTCAATTTTCCCACCGGCCCGCATTC